ACTAGGCCGGGAGATCGGGAACGCATGCGCATCCAAAGGCGACCGCTCAAACGAGCTGGACGGTTGCCTGGAATGAGCATGAGACAGCCCGCTTGGCTGCGCAGCGAATGCATTGGCTATGGGCTGCTGATGGAATGCTAGACCATGTCCTGGATCGAGCGGAAAGCCCCGTCCTGGAGGCATGGGACGGGTTCCATTCATTCCTGGAAGCACGGGCAGTCCATTCGGCGCAGGAAACCCTCGCAGTTGGTTCATCAGCGGGCCCGAATGCGGCGGGTATGAAGGTAGCTCATGGCCTATCGGCGGACGTGAGACCAGACCCAATCCCGGCGGATTCGATGGCGAGAATCCGGGTGGATGAGAGCGGTTCAGCGCACCAAGGGGAGACAGAGGTGTCGAGGGCTGGGGATGGTGAAGCAGCGGTGGCTGTCCATGGCCCTGCTTAGACGTAACGCTGGATGCCCCTGATGACTGCGACGGCGCCATGGACCGGGGAGAAATGGATACCTGTGACGGCTCGGTGCTTGCAGGCTGGGATCGTGGAGACGACGTATGGGAGCCCTGCTGAGACGGTTGCCGCGGCCTGGCGGGTGTCGGAGCTTTGGGGACTATAGGAGTGGCGATTTGGTAGTGCGGCGACTGCAAGTATGCAGGCAGCGCCTGGGCGTGTTGCAAGCTGGCTGGGATCGGAACCGGTCCTGTATGCGACACCCGTTTCGCTTGGGGATCGCGTTTCTCTTGACCTTCGTAATCGGTCTTGGGGGCGGCCTCCCTGACTTTACGTTCTCGCTCATCCTTCGTCTTCTTCTCTCGCAATTCGTTTTGCCGGGCTTCTTCTCGTCGCTTCTTCTCCAGCTCCTTCTGCTCTCGTTGCTTTCTCTCAATCTCAGCCTGTCGCTCTCTTTCTTCACGTAACCGCTTCTGCTTCTCCGCCTCTTTGCGGAGACGCTCCGCTTCTTGGGCCTTGCGTTCTGCCTCTCGTTTCTTCTTTTGCTCCTCGCGCTTCCTCCTCTGCTCTTCGAGCTTCTTCTCCTGTTCAGCCTTGGCTGCCGCTTCCTCGGCCGCCTTCTCCGCCTCCCTTCGCGCCTTCTCTTCCTCCTTGGCCTGCTTTTGGAGCTTCTTCTTGTCCTTTCTCTTCTGAGCTTCCCGCGCTTTCTTGGCATTTCGTTGCTCGTTTCGGGTCTGCTCCTCCATGAGTTCCTCGATCAGTTTCTGCTGACGCTGTTCTGCGACCTTTTCTCGATAGGCTGTCAAGACGCGCTGTTCGAACATTCGGGCCGCAAATATTTGAAACATCCGTCGGCCTTCCTCCATGCGTTGCTCTTCCGTCATGGCGTCCTGCAGAAACGAGTCAGCTTGCACTGCATCACCACCCGGCCAGTTCCCGGAGCTGACCATTTCATCCTCCTCATAATCTTCATCCTCCTGACTATCGTAGTCCTCGTCCTCTTCCTCGTCATAGTCGTCGTCATCTAGAGGGCCGTGGTTGTGGCCGCCATGGAGGGATTGGTGAGCTGCTGCTATGCCGTATTGGGTATCCTCTTCACGTTGCATTCGGCGCTCAGCTAATTGCTCCATCATGTCGATGAAATGTTTCCCGTCGTTCTTTAACAGATCGTCCGCGACTGTAAGGATGCCATCTGCAAGAGTGAAAATAAGATTAGTTACCGGCTTCGGAAAAATGGAAAGAAAGAAGCATAATTTGTCGCCTACCTTTGACAGTTAGACTATTCCCAAAGGCGAAGAAATCTGCGCGGGCTGCACGGGTCTCTTCGTCTTCGTACTCGTCGTCGCTGTAAGGCTCGTCATCCTCGTCATCCTCATCATAGTCCTCCTCTAGATCCTCGTCGTCTTCGGGTAATTCATGAATCCGGCCTCGGGAGGGATGAAACTGGCCTTGCGTCCGTGTATGTTGGCCGGGTGACCGTAGAGGCGGGTGGTATAGACGCGGAGGTGGGACCATCGGCGGGCCCTTCTCGAACGAGCCTTGGTTGTTGTTGGCGTACTGTTCCAACTCCTCGTAGTAAGCGTCGTATAGTACTTCCAGTTCCTCCTCGATAGCCGTCCGTTTCCTCCCACATACGGTACAACTGCATGAGTGTTTCTGCTGCTCCTTCATCTTTTTCAAGACCGCATCCTTTTCGACCTTGACGAGCTGGCGTCGCTCCTCCTCCCCAAGCTCAAGCCAGAACGTCTTGATGTTCTCTCGCTCTTCTTGCGTGGAGGTGTTCCAAATGCTGCGGTCCTTACTCGTCTTCAGAAGCGTGTGAGGCAGATGCGACGGTAACGGCGGGGGCAGATGCTGTGACATGGAGACTGAAGGAGTGGACAGTGGAGTCGAACTTTCATCGCCCATGGTCTGTGAGCCGGCCCGATTCTTCTTGCCTTTCTTCTTCTTGGATTTCCGAGCCGTGGCATTTTGTTGGCCGGGTTGCCCGTTTGACAGATTCGGTGGGTGGTCATCCAGATCATGTGTCGCGTCGTGGATCTCCTCGTAGTACGTTTCGCCGTTGGCGCGTTCATCGAGATCGTGGTCGTCGGATACATGAGATGCTGGCGCGGTAGGGCTCAGACCGTTCTGCTCAGACATGTCCGCGGAGATGTGGCCGTTTCCGAACTGACGCTCCGCAGCCAAGCGGGCGGCCTGTTTTTGTCTGCGTTTTTGCTTCTTGCGGTTTACCGACACGGGTTTGGAGTCTGATAAGGGGAGTTGGGCGTGGTGGTGGTCGTTGGGCGCATGGGCCTCGCCGTTTGTGGCGTGTGCAGGGATGGATGTCGACGCAGGATCGGACATTGTGGAACCGGGATTCGGCCGGGGCGTTTGCGGCGGAGCCATGGAGAGGTGAGGACTTTAGGAGGCTAAGATAGCGATGGGTAGGGAGGACGAAGAGGGCGGGCTTCTCAGTCTCCTAGGATGTTCCGACCTAAGCACCATGCTAGGGAAGCGTTCCGGCGGGAAAAAGTCAGCAAGAGGGCACGGCGGAGATAGCCAGGTAAGTAATAGAGAGGGAGCAGATTCAAAGCTCACCGGACAGCGGTCGGGACGAATGGGAAGGAAATTATTGGATGGAGGAAGGGACAAGGGGAGGCCCAAATGCAGGATGTCTGGTGAATCACACGAGGCCAGCGAAAAAAGAGACGGCGGGTGGGAAGCAGGCGCCCAGGTGAATTGGGGTGAATCCCAAGGGTCGACAAACGGGGAACGAGGGCGGAGAGGGGTGGAAAGGACCCGGGAACCGCACGACAGAGGGGAGAGAGGGGGGGGGGGGAAGGACAGCGTTCAATCCCCCAACAATCGGGGAGATAGGGAACAAGCGGGGAGAGAGGATGGGAAGGGCGAGGCGGACAACAGCGAGTGAATGCACCAAACAGGAGATGGGAGGAGGGGATTCGGCGACACGCGCAGACACAGCGAAGATGATGGGGGTTTGGATGGTGGACCTTGACGCCGGGCGTTGGGCTCTGGATGGTTGCCGTGCCGCTGGCCGCAACTGGATTAGCCGCCGCAAGCGAGGTTTCTCGCCTCAGTTCTCAGGCTTCCTCTATCATCAATTCACTACTTGACAAGTGGATTCTTCTCTCGGTCTGCCTGTACATGTAGTCTTACTGTGAATATTCCACATATTCGATCTTCTGAAACTACCACCAACTAGATAGCCTGGGCTTCCCCTCTGTGATAAAGTTCGCACTTGTCGAACTGCCTACCATAGAGATCTATGCAATCAAGCGCTCACTTCAGATCACCTGCCTAGCTTAAGCGCCCTTTGCCAGCCACCCAACCAGTCAACCAGCCCCAAAAAGGACCTGCCAACTGAGCTTTGAGCTTTAATCTGAGAGTTACGTCGTAGTATTCTCCAATGTCACTACACCCTACTACTAACAGACACCTCGGAATACCGTCGGAACTTAGCTGCGAATATGACCGGGGTGTGGGCTATTATAGCGCTCCCTCATCATACTCATCCCTCTCCTGCGGGGTCACTAAATAGCCAACAGAAAAGAGGGGGGGGTTCAATCTCATGATCGGCGCGCGCATTCCATTCTGACATGATATGATGCTGTCAGCCCATCTAGGGTGAATTACACATCCCTGGATTGGGTAAATGTTGATCGACATGAACATGAACATGTTTATGGTCTTGAAATGTGGCATGTCTCATGGGCAGGTGACCTTGTCAATTTAAACAGGTGTTCGTTTAGCTTAGCATTAGCATGGATGTCTCAGTGCGGAGTAATGTACTCTCCCCACTGACCGCCGACGCTCTACTATTAGCTCCGAGCAAGAGGGAATCATACAATTGTGGGCAATTGCTGATTGCAAGAGTTTCTTTTCCCGCTGTCGCTATCTTGTGAGGATTTGGTTTGCATCGACATATTTCATTGCTAGTTGAGTAGTTTGAATGTGAGGGGATATAACAGTCCGAAATGGCAAAGTGTGACAGGTGCCATAGCCACTCGCTGTAGGTTTAAAATTACCGAACTCCGTGACTACTACTATAAATGCTTTGAGACAAAACAAATCCCTTGACGTTAGACGCTCAATAGGCACGTTATTTGAGGGTTTATTGCACAAATCTGTTTGATTTTGTCATTCGGTTACAAGATAGCGATCAATCGATAACCTCGGAGTAAAAGAACGATGCATCTGGCAAAGTTGAAGATGGTGAATCCTGCGATCCTCCTGGTTTGGCCTGTCTCACAGTCCAATGCTGACCTGCACTGTTCCTCCGCAACCCCTGCTGTCTCTCCCGCGAGATACCCGCCACAGCACTTATAAAGAGCACAGATTTGTATGCACTTGGAAGCCTCATAGAAGACTTATAGGCTTTGGAGCATGTCACTCACGCTACCTCAACATGACCAGAGCTACCAACTGGAACTCATTGTAGATCTTCAAGCATACGAGGGCGCTCACGACTGTCACCAAGCTGAGACACGGCACGGTATGTGGCGGCCTATGGGATCATAGCCAGCGTCTTTCCTGTTTCCCTGATACTGATGTCCCTGTCTCGGTCCGGAAGCTGTTGGTGGACCTTCCGCCTCAGAGTGTTCCGGAGATTGGCAGGCCAGACGCCATCCGTGTTAGACTTCTGTGTGCTGTATGGCTCAATGATCGATGCGAAACGTCTGGCAACCTTGAAAATATCATGGCGCTATTTCTGCCCGCAAGGTTTGAATGACATTGGCTTGTCAAGTCGCAGTCAGGAGCTCTGCTTCGCGCATACCGAGTTCTGTTCGGTCGCCGGAAAAGTCATACTCATCGCCGCTGCTATCGTCATCCTCTTCCGTGAAGGCTGCAGAGATCAGTTCGGCATACAGGGACTCGGTTGGTTTTCTCATGACCGTCCCTTTAGGTGTCCGGAAAAACCCGAGTTTCGGTGGACACAAGACAATCCGGGATCGCTGTATTTGCGCGTGCTCAGAGGCAACGGAATTAGCTTCGACGACAGATGGCCAAATGGCGTCCAGCAGCTCATCTCTGCTCATTTCTTGATATGAGCTTTGTCTAGCTTCAACGAGCAGAACAGGATCTGGGCGACCATTTCCCACAATCAAAGCCCCTGTCACATGAGGATCTCCTCTCAGGATAGTCTCCATGGGAATAGGCCACACTTTGAGCTTATTCTCCAGCACGATTATATCTTCGGTGCGCGAGTGAAAAAGCCACAAACCAGCTTTGGTGGGGTGAGGCTTGAAAAGATCTTTAGTGCGCCACGTGTGTACCTTGGGATAATTATGAGCAAGGGATAGATATGGCCGTGAGCTCTCAGTAGGGTGCAGAACCAGCTCATAGACGTCATCACCCACAGCCTGCATCTCAATCTCCGGACAATTGTTGAATTCGATATATTGCCACTCTCCTGGCTGGGGATTGAGCGCCTGGATGTGGCATGTCTCAATAGAGCCATACATCTGGCGGATATTTGTTACCTCACTTAGCTTATTCCCAACACTAGGTGCCAACGCCGCTCCACCACAAAGGATGAAATCAAGCCGTCGTGCCTGGTCGTAAGCGCCTGGCTCAAGCACCCACTGCTCCACCAGAAATGGGGGAACATAGATGGCTCGTATCTGTGGCTGTTGTTTCATAATGGCGCTTAGCAGGGCCCCGCTTGGTGGGACAGTAAGAGGTCCCATGACAAAAGCAGCCGTACGTGAAATGAGAGGCAAAAGGGTGAAGGCATGGAGGCCAGCTAGCTGTTGATCCATGAGCTCAAGAATATGAAGAACGCATAGAGCAACTTACGTGGTGAGGCGGAAAGGGGGAGTAATAGCGTCCTGGTGGAGAGAAATTGAATTGATCTGCATTTTGCGCTCGGCGTCCCTCTGGGACAGACATGAATGTATCATTGTCAGCGCAGGCAAGGGTACCGTGGGTGTATTGAACCAGTTTTGGCTGGCCTGTCGTGCCGGAAGTGTGCAAAATCAGACAACGCTTGTTCTGGAATTCTTCGAAAGAAGCATTCCAATGAAATGGAGAGGACTTGGATTTAAAAAGCTCCGCCAGCGTTGGCACCTGCAAGGATTGCATGAAAGGGTCGAATTGCTGAAGGCTTTCTGCTGCCGAGCACATGACGTCCGCATAGAGAAGGCCATAGACGTTTGCTTCCTGCAAAAGGCCTAAATTCTGAATGGGGGTAGGCGAGACGAACATTGCCTGTCTCGAGTCAGTATTGGTTATTGGTTCTAAGAGAGGATAGACACGTACATTCCACCCACACTTCATGAGCGCCAGCAGCAAAATGGGGTAGCGGAGGTCAGGAGGGCCAATGTAGGCCAGTGTTGTCTTCCTGGATACTCCATCAAAAGCGCGCTCCAGCCACCAAGCCATATGGTCTACGGCTGTCGCCATCTTTTTCACGCTGATGTCTTTGAATCCATCCGTGACGCTTTTAGTCTTGGGAATAGCAGCGAATACACGATCGGGCTCGTCATGGGCGTAGTAATCGAGAATGTCAGGAAGCAGCCGATGTCCTCTGAACTTTTCCCCGCCCCGAACCCACGACTCCGTGCCGTTACAAGCCACCATTTTATGTTATGGCAAAGACCGCCTAGTTCTCTAGTAGTTGGGATCTGAGGAGACCTGCCGATCTTCAAGGCCGTGATTGGAAATGAGGTCGTTGTCGCTTATGATATGACTGCCCGGGGGGGGGTTGGCCGTGGCGGGCTATTTCAAACTCTTGTGGTGGGTAGGCAGTCAATAAGTGAACCATGTGCAAAGGATCTTAGCCCAAGCAAATGCCACAGACAGGATGCGACTAAGCACGTTTTCACCCCTCGTGGGAATCCATCAACCTGCGTGTCTAAGTCTGCACTAAATTGGTCTTTTGATCAATGATAGCTGGGCGACCCGTGCCTGCAACATGCATGATTAAGCCCGTGGGCCGCACCAGGAACCTCCGTGAAGAAGAGGAAACTAACAGGAAGACTGCCGTACTGTAAGTGTAATCGGCTGAACGGACCAGAAGAAGGTTCAGTCAATTGTAACTACTGACTAGCAAGCACACTTGAAAGTGGGCTCTTGCTTCGGAAATGGCCGCTGTCCCGCGCCACGACGACTGGCGGGCCGCTGGCACTTGTACCAACGAGTCTAGTAGTTCATACGCTCTTTTCATTTGGCCCCCTCCCCCCAGTTGTGCGCTCGTTGATGGTGGCCAGGTTTAAAACCCAGGACCAGCCTATCGTATGACATGGACGCACATAAGAGCACACATAAATCACTATCATCTTCTTCACTGCACCATGTGGCGCCTGGATGGCCATGAGGTGCTCCGCAGTTGTCTCGACTATTTGGTTAGCGGAATGATAGAAACACTAGGGAATGCCGATCAGCCTGGCTCAGGTGTGCGACCGTGGAATTGAAGGCTGCTCCACAATTGCATCTGCGATTTCCAGATCAATTCCGCCCCGGTGTATCTTACACAGGAAGTTGGCACGTACCGGCGGCCGGCCCAGATGGAATTTGCGATTGACGTCTTGACGGGCCGGCTCACCATGGTTGAAGGGTGGAGGCCAGCAATCGCGGGAACATCATTGCTCGAACCTTAGTTGCAGGATTCATCCAAGAGCCGATAGAGGAAATCCTGGGAGACTAATGACTTCATTGACCGGTCACTCCCTTCCTGAAGCGTCCGATGTAGTCTCAATTTTGATGATTGTGTCCGTCGGTTTTAAGAACCGCGCTTGGAAATAAGCGGTGACGGTTTTAGTCGATGCCGAAGGAAGCGAGACCAGAGATAAACGGTCTCCATAAAATCCGTCGAGGCCGTCCGGCGAGACCATCATTGGGAGCGGATGATAAATGCGAAGTCCGCCGGGCCCATTCCGCTCGATCCTTTGATTCGCAGAACGGTTAATGGCGCACTCTCTTGTGCCCCCAATTAATCGACGGCGTCCGGAGAAAACGCCCGACCCAAAAGGTCATGGCTAAAGGATGGTCCTAGTATTAAGCACTGCACATGCAATTTCCTAACGGCTGCCAAAAAAAACCCCCCCCATCTTGGTTTTGAGATGAGTGGCTGCCAGAGCTTATTTGCCGAGCTTTCTTTGCAAATGTACGGGGTAGTAGACTGGCACTATATGAAGGGTCCAGCCACAATGAGCAGGTGCCAGGCAGCATCTGCGATAGGGGGCGTATCCAATTCTATGTGTAACGCATGGCAGGCTCGTCGTCGAAGGTGGACTCACAGCCGATGTCTGAGAGCTAGAAACACTGTTGAGAAAAAGTACATTAGACCTGCTATAGCAAAGTGAGGAGCAGCATCAAACCTCCGATATATTATTCTATCGGGCAAGCAATAGTCTAGAGATCCATAAGTGGGCGGTTGAGTCTAACAGTAGCCCACAGGCACATCTTCGGTGTGTAAAGCATGCGTCGGTTTGTCAAGAAACGGAGTCCGTTTATTCCGTCCTGATCGCATCTTGCAAGTCAGGGAGTCGATCAAAAATGAGAGAGACGAGACGTTTCCAAGAAGATCATAGACCCACGGCGGTCTTGTTAGCCTGGCTAGCAGTCATTAAGACGAAGCACACATGTCCTTACCGGAGGTGCTCCGTGCCCTCAATTCGGGGAGGTTTTCCAACCGAGTGTGTAGCGACCTAGCTGAGAATCGTACGTGCGCGTTTGGAAACGACTGCAGAAAATCTCTTCCCTTGAATGAAGTGGTCGCGCTCACCTTCGGCTCTTGAGACTAGAATTGCCTAGTTTATGCAAGAGAGCTGCGCCGCAAGCTGAACTACAACCAAATTCGACTATAGTGCACTAGTGAGGGAGCTAGACAATGACAGGGGTGTTGTGACTGTGAATATGTGAGCGCAGAAGATCGCAGTGCAATGAGGAGATGAAGATGAATGAAGTAGAAGTTGATCTCTACGCTTTGTTTACATCATGTGTGATTTCGGTGGTTTCTTTGTCCTAATACGCCTCAGTTCCCCCGCCGCCCCGTTTAATATAAATAGCATCAGGCCCACTGGGATAGATCAATTCTTTGGAGATCCTATATCTACTACTGAGTCATGAGCGTGTATAATCAGCAAATTTGCCCGTTTCGTAAAGCTGATGTGCACTGTCCAGAGTTTGCTTTGATCCTCTTCAGCATTGGGCAGGCTTTCACGCCTCTTAACACAGGATCCAACTGGAGCTTGCTGATATTGCAACGCATACCTAGCCAAAAATAAGATTCTTGATGTATTGCCCAATCTTGCTCACTGTTCCGGTATCTGCCTCATAACCAACAGCCGCCCTTGCCCGATCTTCTTCATCAAAAGCAGCCGCCGCCGAAAAGTCCATTTCTGACGGACGAACCAGCTTGGAGCGATAGTAGATCTGAAAGAACGGTTATTAAATATCCTGAAACTTTCCGTCGACGAATACTCACCTTGTAGCCGAAGTAATCAAAGAAGAATAGAGGCGCCGCAATGTAGGATGAAAACCAGCTCTTTGCAGATCCCTTCTCGCCGAAGGGGAAGCACGCTAGGTAGAATTCGCACCCTGCGATAAAAAGGACCACAACGAGACCAACAAACTGGGCGTAGGGTGCTGTTCGGTCTCGGAAAGGCAATGTCTTCTTATCGATGCCCTGCGCAGCAAGACCCTGTCGAAATCGAATATGAGAGATGAAGATGCCGGACCATTGGAATAAGGCGGATACAGATACCTGTGGCAATGTCAGTCATAGGGCAACTCTGAGCATGAATATGTGACATACTAACCAGAGATGAAAACCAGCCATAGACGGTAGCTCCGGTGTCGTTACAATTGAGATAGCATAAAGCCCCTCCTATAGTAAGGCTGAGGGCTAGAGAGACGTAGGGCCTCCCGACAGTGTCCTTGCGGCCGAAGAAGGGATGCAGAATGGCCATGTCGGACAAGGCTGCAAGACTACGGCTAGCGATATAGGCACTGGTAATGCCACAGCTGATCACTGTCAGGAATATGAAGCCGTTTATGATGTGTGCTAGCCACATCACGCCTGCACGCTCGATGGCAATGACAAAGGGGCTTCCTAATGTGCCACTTCCATTGATGAGGTTGTCGTCGTCATAAGGAACGCACATACCCACAAGCCAAACATTTACCACGAAGAACGAAAACATGCGCCAGAACACTGGGTATACGGTTCTCTTAATGGTTCGGCGGGGGTCCTTCGCTTCTCCAGCAATGACCGCGATATGCTCTCCGCCACCGAAGCTGAACAGCGCTTGGACAAACGCCTTAGAAATACCTTTAATGCCGTTGTTGAATGCGCCGGGATTGCGCCAATAGCGAAACTCGATCGGTCCATGTGTGGCCGGGATACCACCCGATGTCATGATGAACATGAAGAAAATCATGACAAATATCGCCAGGACCTTGACAAAAGACATGATGTACTCAACATGCCCATAGATCCGGACACCGAAACAATTCGCCGCGGCAATGACAAACAGAAAGATTGTGATATACGCTGCAAGTGGGACAACCTCTGTTGCTGGCCAGAATTCAAGCACAGAGACAGCTGCAGTTATTTCGGCAGGAATACAGATCACCCACTGCCAGCAATGATCAGTCGTCCATACATCATCTGATTTGACTGAGGCACCTACCGAGAACCAGAAGTTGATTCCGACCGCGAACCCAAATGCGGGTTCCACGTACTCGATGCATTGTCTGATAAATCCACCATGGACCGGCTTAAAGGTCGTCATTTCTCCGATGGAGGTATACTGTAGGTACACTACAAATCTAATATTGGCGTCACGTCAGCAAATCAGTAATTATAGGGCAGCTTGACGGACTTACGCAGTGATGGTGTATGCAACGGCGATGCCACCAGGGCCAGCTACATGCTGCGATTAGTTTCCAAAGCTTTGCTGCTTCGCTCAAAGGAGCCTTACCATATTTCAATGCAGTTCCTGTACCGACCCATCTAGATGAGATTGTCAATCACAGTGCGCCAGCAGCATATAAGGTATGCCCTACAAGCCAGTTCCCACGCCAGCACCAAAGGTCATCATCATAATCTGACGACTACCGAGCGACCGGTGATAGCCAACATCCTCGTCCGCTCCTAAGAGCTCACAGTCTCCCTTGGCAACATCCTTTTCAGGATCGTTGGCGTCGACAACGGTGTCCTTAATGTTCACTTTCTCTGTCATAGTAACGGTAGCTTACCCCGCTGGTTACATTGGCATCGAAGAGAGGGTCTATAGCGGCATTTTATACGCCAATTCTGGTGAATATCATAATGTGCATGATAAGTGTCATTGGCCATTATGACCGCCGTATCTGAAAAGCGGCAACGAAATGGAGATACTGCGTCCGAGATAAGCTAGGTTGGAGGTTTGATAGCGACTCGCGGCGTTAACAGCCAGTTGTAGATAATAGAACGGAGTAGTCCGAGTCTCTCCCCATTACTGTATTAGGAAAAGCTGGAGTCTAGTAGAAGCAAAAGTGGGGTTGCTGATCATCTGTGCTGTATGACCCATGTCTCCTAGTTTGAGGTCAGGTGTATAAGAAGGTAGACCAATGGCTTAGGCAAGTCGAACAAAAGCCAAACCTTCAGTCACTCTCCCAATTCTTCTCATTTGGTCCCTACGATAGATCAGCGCCAGTAGCAGCACCATGACCGGCAGTAAGAATGTGGTGTTCGACATTGTCGGCACACTGGTCTCCTACGACGTCCTCTTCGATGCGATCGACACGCAACTGGGCGACCGTCTCCGTGCGGAGGGAATCAAGCCTTCCTTGCTAGGATACACCTGGATCGAGGTCGCAGAGCGCGAGTACACGTATCTGAGCTTGTCGGGCCAGTATAAGACATTCGCTACTTGTCTGGAGTTGCTCTTCTGGCGAATGCTCAAGATGGCTGGCATCCAAGACCCGCGAAGCTTTGCCACAAAGAGCGATCTTGAGTTTATCATGAGTAGGTATGCCAAACTTGGACTCCGTCCAGGAGCGGCCGAGTGCGTCACTAAGCTGCGTGATGCTGGGTTCACTGTCTGGGCGCTCACAGCGGGGGACGCCGCGAGAGTGGGGGGATATTTCGCCAACGCTGGTCTTGAATGGCCCGCAGAGAATCTGAAATCCTGTGACTCGCAGGGAATAGGCAAGCCAGACCTGCGGGTGTACCAGCCGCTCTTCGAGCAGCTTTCCCAGCATGGACAACCCTGGTTTGCTGCTGGACATATGTGGGACGTTTCGGCGGCTCGCCGTGCGGGGTGAGTACAGATGCACTAAATGATGCGTTATCTCGGCGGAGACAGAATTAGCTCACATTTGGCACACAGATATAAAGGAGCGTACTGCACCATCTGGGAGAAGGAGCCGATTGTGGAATTATTTGGAGAGATGGAAGTCATGGCAGAGACTCTGCCCGCGATGGCTGACAAGATAATTAGTGCGGAAAACAATTGAGCAGGGAGAGGTTGACGGCCGAGGGGCAGGCATATCGGCACTAGCTTGGTCACTAGATACTAGTACTTTAGGGAGCGCGTCAGCTACTGATAGGAAAGATACATGCCAGTGTACCATGCAAGTGAGTGGAAGAAGGTTGGAGCTGGTCATTTAGATATTAAAATAGCATAGAAAATTCCACCTTTGTACCCTTGGAGATCCCTTTCAACGCTGATGGTTCTCCGATGATTGGTTTACATGCTACAGAGCGTCATTGTCCAGGTACTTCAGAATGATAGCTGGAGGCTCCGCTGCTTGTTGTAACTCATCCAGGAGGGGACGCAGGTTCGCACAGCGATATTGAAAGCGACAAGAATGTCTCGTGCGTTCTGGAGACGCCAATAGCCTTCTACGCTCTGCACAAGAACAAGATTCTCGTGTTGATTCCTATGATCACGGCTTAGTGTTCGGCAGCGGTCAACCCGGGAACGACCAGCACTTGCACTGCAAGATATACAATTTTCGAATTCTTCTGGGTGACTTTATAGTTACCTTCTTTCAATCGATAAGGCGTTGACCCCCTAAAAAACAGAGATTTGCTTGACATTAGGGGGTAGCGGTGATCAGTTGTCTATATTTCCGTAATCTGCATCAAAGAAGGGAGGAGTATGAGGGAGCAACATACTAAGAACATGGGATGCCACGCCAAGGCTCAAGGCAGGTTAGGTAATGGTCGGTACCATATATCACAAGCAAGTCATGAGTGAACAGAAAGCGGTTGACAAACTTAGAATATGCCGAAAAACAAGGAATATTCCTTAGAGTCGCGCGTTGGATAGATCGCTGGGAGAGACACCATAGATCTAAGAAGCGTTGATATAGAAGATCCATGTGTTGATAGGCCTATTCTGAGATGTTCGAGTCTTTCTCCACTCGACAGAATATACTAACGCCTTTGCATTCTCGCTCCATGATTTGCCCACCTGAAATGCTTCTAGTCACTGGTCTATAATGAATAATACCGTTCCGATGAATCCATTTTGCAGGCTATCGTAGGTTTAAATGGCCCAGATAAGTCCAGCGAGGACGCTATCACATGTCAGTTGCTGCTCTTGGCCGATCACTGCTACTTTGTATTCTCTGATAAGCTGATAGACTCAGTAGGCCGCGCATACACAGTAACAACTCATTGCCACCCACAAATCATACCCGCTTATGCTTTTCTCGATCATGTCGATGTTCAAATTGAGAAAGAGATCGGCACTGCTTTGGGTCAGGTACATGATGGCTGTGGGTGAGCCACAGGAACGATCGCCACGTCCTGGTACCAGGTACCAGTCTAAACTTATTTAGGCAACTTCCTCCACGGCCTCCCCGGGGCTCCGCGGGGACTAAACCCCATACTATCAGGTACTTTTTCTGAGATTGAAGTATAAGACGAGCGATGGCTGAGCGGCCTCATCAGCAGTTCACTTTCAATCCAAGCACTTTTCTAGACACTTTTCCAATATGCCAGCTATAAAGAAGGTAAGCTTATACAACTTCAGCAATATTATCTAGCTAACATGCCTAATCAGGCCATCATCATCGGTGCAGGCCCCGCCGGCCTCGCTGCCGCCCTCCAACTGCACCGTAACAACAACATTGCCATTACTGTATACGAGTTACGGCCAGAACCAACCACTCTTGGCGGTGCTATAGGTTTATTCCCAAATGGAATGCGCTTGGTCCATCGACTAGGGCTTCATGAGGAAGTTGTCGCCCGCGGATTCTCTGTCACCGACATGGAGATTCACTCGCTGCCAAACGGTGATATTGCCAAAGTCGACATTTCCGGCTGGGCAAATCGGCAAACTGGCTTCGAATATTTGCGCATCCGTCGCAAGGACCTTCAGGGTGTTCTGCTTGACGCCGTTGCAAAAGACCAAATTCCTGTCCACTACAACAAGCGCATTATTTCAGTCACCGAGTCAACAACAGATGTCACCGTAACCTTTTCCGACGGTTCAACTGATACAGCCACTATCCTGCTCGGATGCGATGGACTTCACTCTAGTGTCCGTCGACTTCATGTCGACCCGTCCATTGTGCCCGAATACTCCGGTATCGCGGGAACGCAGTCCATCATTGACTGCACAGGGCTTCCGGAGGAGCTGAGTACACATGCTAACGCTTTTCTCACTCGCACTGGTATTCTGGCAATGATGCCGTGCTCTCCGTCTGGGGATGAGCTCTTCTGGTTCTTCTCCCGGGAAACACCTATCCCTCACTCGGAATCTGGCAATGCACGAGATGGGTGGGAGGAGCGACGTCAAAAAGAGGTTGCAGAATATAAGGACACTATTCTGAGCATCATCGGAGAAGGCAAGGGTAAATGGCCGGAGGCATTGACAGAGATGGTCAATCGGACGGACGCTGTTGGGTTTTATCCCATCTTCCGGCTCCCGCTGGGCGGGAAGTGGTATACTTCTCGAACGGTGCTGCTCGGGGATGCAGCGCATGCGATGCAGCCTCATGCGGGCCAGGGAGTGTCTATGGCATTGGAGGATGTGTTTCTGCTATCGCGATTACTGAAAGATGATCAGCGGAGTTTGGAAGATGCATTTGCCAAATACGAGGAGATCCGCAAACCGCGCATCACGGAGATATACAATCTGGCTGCCAAGAACGGAAAGATGCGAAAAGATGTCAGTCCGTGGGGCTTGCGGATGAAGGAGTACATGGCGTGGGCTGCTTATGGACTATATAACCGATTAGGGTTGGAATCTTGGGGGATTGGTCAGAAGCATTTGGTCTATGATATTGACGAGGCCAAGATCTGATTGGGCTTGAGATTTTCTCTTTTTCTTCTTTTTTCTTTTCTCTTACTGTGAATATTTTCGGAGGGGTTCGGACTCTCTACTCATTTCTGTACCTTAATGCGGCGCTAATAGCAATGTCTCGGAAGCAATTATCATGTTGGGAACTCCATTAACCGGGAAGCTCTACGAGTGGTCTATTCAAGCCTAGAATATATGCACGGTGTCAGGGTATAATGACTCGTATTATCCATGTCCTAGGGGTATGGCAAAAGCGCAGAACACCAGCTGGGTCATGATGAGCCAGGGATAGATGCAGCAGGATGTCATGTCATGCATTGACTGGAGACGACGACAGCCCTGCTAATGCTCAGCCATAGTATGATGGAGCTCACCCCCTGAAGTGGCTGTACTGTGTGTAAAGGGGATCGGGGTACTACTGGTGCCAGGATTTAGGGCGCCGTGACTAGTTCCAAATCTACTATTCATGCATTCTCCCCTCCAGAGGTAAACGGAGTACAAGGAACTGATTCAAGAAAGGAAGGTGATAAAAGAAACTGTTGAGAATTCAGCAGCAGCAGCAGTAGTAGTAAGTAGTTAGTAATTATCCAGTGGAGCCCAAATGAGAGTGTTTTTGTGTGTGTCTGAAGTTTAATCAACAACGGGTTCGGCTGGGTCAGGGAAAAAAAAAATAAACAAAAAGAAACATCCACCATCACCTCCACCACGAGGAATTGAAGAAAAATAAAAAAATAAGTGAAAAAGAAAAACGGGAAGCCGGACTTGCCCAGTCATCGGCATCCTCCCTGCGAAAGCATCCGGGGGGCTATAAATATAATGATCCCATGGTCCAATGGTAAGCAGTGCATGGCCCCTGGTCCCGGCGTGATCCCCCTCTCTTTCTGGCCCAGCGTGCTCTCCACCCTCATTATAGTAACAGCGACTATCGCGAAATAACCACCGTCTAGCCTGCAACGTCTGAGACAAATCTCTAACCTTAGTAACAAGCGGCCGTGCGGTGACGATTCTTCAGCTGGGCCATCACTGGGCCGATCCCTCCTTCTCTTTGATTACTATGGGGGAGTCGTTTAGCTGCCAGTGGGATTGGCTGGTGGGTTGCGGTGCTGGGCGTCCATTCGATGCTATTTGTGCCCATTCGTCAGCGTGGTGGGAGGCCGTACTGACTGTATATATATATGGAGTAAGATGCCTGGATTGTGAGGGTGCAATGGTGCTTTTACTATCTTAATAATCCTTCATCTGAGCATTAGCATCAATCATCGCTCTACCTCCCTGCCTCGCTGCTCTATATTAAGTACTGTTATAGTGAAGTTAAATTACTTAAGTTACTATTTCCCGTCTAACTGAACCACGGTCGAGCAATCGTATTGAAGGTGCGTATTTATCCGTTTTTTCCCCAAATCTTCTTTCGTTTCTTTCCCTTCCGGATCAGCGTCAGCCTCAACGCTCGACCGCCTTCCCGAACGAACGAGACAACTCTTTGCTGGGCCCCAAATCCACTTCTTCCCCCCATCAATAATCCCAGATTATCATCCATCCATTCATTCCCCCCCGGCAAAGCTATCCCCCCCCCCCCCCATTTTCCCTGGCCTCCTCCTCATTCCTGTATTCTTTAATTTTAGGGGGAGGGTCTTCATCACTAATTCCCAATTTTCTCCCCTCCTTCCCACACATTCGACATTCAAAGCTTCCACCGAATTCTTCGTACTTATCCTTGGCCATTATCCGACCGCAGTTCTGGCCAGCCTTGCCTGCTGCTGCCTGATTCTTATTCCGTTCCGGGTTCCGCCAGGGCTCGTCAGCGCCCTCGCATTGTTTCGACCCATTCGTGCATTCTCGCTTCATCTTGCTAGGGATCCGAGATCCCAGCCGGTTGTGAAATTAAAAAAAATGGCTCAACAACAGACTGATAATGTGATGCGAAGGTATGTTCCGCAATGTTGTCGTCCCTGTGTTCGGTTTCCCACCTGAGGCCATCATGTTATCTACTGCCGATTTCTGGTTCCCGTTATCAGCCCACCCGCTGTCACTCGACCGGATTGCTCGTATAGAGGGGTGCGGGGGTGCAGCCAGCCCCCGATGCAACATCCATGCTATGACGAATGGGGCCCTGAGCTGACCTGCATGTAGAAAGTTGGTGATCATCGGGGATGGTGCTTGTGGGAAGACCAGTCTGCTGAGCGTCTTCACCCTGGGCTATTTTCCAACCGTAAGTCAACCCTCTTCTCCAATGCGCTGATCGATGGAGTTTCATTGGCTAACCGGTTTCTGATCTGTAGCACTATGTTCGTACCTATCACCTCCTTCGCTGACTACCTAGCATGCATCTGACTGTCGCCTATCAATCAGGTCCCGACGGTTTTCGAAAACTATGTGACGGATTGCCGAGTGGATGGCCGTTCGGTTCAATTGGCACTATGGGATACTGCTGGTCAGGAAGATTACGAACGATTGCGTCCACTCGCCTATTCCAAGGCGCATGTGATCCTCATTGGGTTCTCCGTGGACACGCCCGATTCGCTCGAGAACGTCAAACACAAGGTTGTCTGACCATCTAGTCACTGTTGGACTACGCTGACTGGTTGCTTATAGTGGATTGAAGAAGCGAACGAACGATGTCCGGGTGTCCCCATCATCCTTGTCGGGTTGAAGAAAGATCTGCGGGAAGATCCTCTGGCCGTCGAGGAGATGAGAAAGAAGTCGCTAAAGTTCGTGACGCCCAAAGAAGGAAGCGATATTTCAACGCAGATCGGAGCCCGCAAGTATCTCGAGTGTTCCTCTTTAACCGGCGAGGGCGTCGACGATGTATTCGAGGCGGCCACGCGTGCCGCGCTTCTGACGTTCGACAAGCGAAAAAGCTCCTGTTGCATTGTGCTATAATGGGGAAATGACGACTTTGCGATAGATAACGTCGCCGACTCTGATGGTATTTCAGCGATATTGCATGCCAGCCATGATGGGTTCATTTGCTATGCGCTTTTGAGCATGTTGCAGTTGCAATTGCAGTTGCCGCGCGAACCACGCGTGAGCCAGTTTGAATTGGATTTCGAAGAAAAGGGAGAAAGTGAGGAGACGGATGTTGAATCGATATATCTTGCATTTGCGGCGTTTGGGAGGGCCTCTTCTTTGTGTTCGAATATCAATTTCGCATGTTTACATACCCTTGGTCTCCGGGGGGAAACGCTTGGTGACATTCGTTAGTCATTCCTTTGGTGTTGCCGTCTTTGTTTGCGTTGTTTTCTGATTCTTCTGATGTGTCTTACTGTCACTAGCGGTTATACCTGTATTGAGAAATTGTATCCACCTACCAGTCTACACCACTCCAGACTCTCCAGTAGATACACAGTACACAGTATGCAGTATGCAGTAGTTACCAAGAACCAACCCATAATATAGTAACATATTATACAAACAAAACAGAGACACATACATAACAATAATATAACACAAACCCATCCATCCATCCATCCATCCATACCCTCATCAACTAATCCACTCTATTTTCTATCCCAATCTCATCTCATCTTCCTTCCCTACACCCCATCCTTCTCCTTCGGAGAACCTCCCTTCCCCTTAAGTCTCCTCCCATAGATTCCCCTCCTCCGGAGAAAATCGTAAAATCTCTCTAATCCCTCTTCCACTCATGATTCCACCCCTCCCTACTCGGCCCCTCCGTCTGCAACCGCGCATACTCAATAGGAACCAAATCCCTAAACACACCCGTCTTGATCATACTCTTCCGGAACAGCTTTCCACCGTCTCCAGCACCCGTGCGCAATTCCTCACACGCAGCCTGCATCGCCTGCCACTGTCTCTGCAGCTCCAGCTCGTGCTTCCGTCGCTGCTGCCCCTGGTACAGGTTCCAGGCGCGGTGGATCGTCCAGTGGCGGAGGAAGCGAGTGCGGGAGAATCGAAGGGGACGGGGAGTGAGTGGGTGGTGGAGGAAGTAGCGGATCAATGCTGTTCAATTATAATTAAACTTTGGTTAGTAGTTGTGGTTTTGAAGGGATGGGATAGGGTTTGGGGGAACGGACTGATTCTGCGGTCGCCGCGGAATCCGGACTCTTTTCTCTTTTGGAGCGAGGTGGTTGTGCTGAATTGGGATTGAGGCTGGAGTTGGGATTGGCGGAGGGTGTTGGTGATGGTGTTGCTGGTGAGGGTTGGGCGGGTCATTGGGATGCGGAAGACCGATGCCAGGGAGGCGAGGACCGGGGAGAGGGTGCGCATTTTGGTGGTGTTTCCTCTCTCTCTCTTTCTTTTTTCTGTCTCTGGGGGATCGGTGCTGAGTTGAGGTTTGGTGGTGGTGGAGGTGGTGTTCTGAGAATGTTCGGAAGACAGACACTGCGCGCCGGAGCGGAAGTTTGATTAGTTGACTTACTGGGTTAGGCTGGTTGGTTGGTTGGTTTGGTTATCTGCCGCGCGCTAAGTAAGCGCGGGTTTTCTGCCTTATTTTGTACGCTGTAGTACTATACTACTACTTTACTATTGACTCACTGGGATTAATTTGTAAAGTCTTGTTGATAATTACTGTTACTCATAGAAAATGTTGAAGTGGTACGTATTCACACTTTTACCTAAGGCATCTGCCCAAGCTCATCGCTCGTCATCAATTGCAAGGAGGTAAAAAAAGAACCAGCAAAGAGTGTATCTCAATCCATCAGCCTAAACGCCAGAAATGCATCCATCGCTTCTCCCCAAACTGATACTTCCCCAGCTAGCTATCAACTACCAGCCTTCCCGACCCGCTTCTTCGAACGATCGTAGTTCAGCACCTTGCGGCGTCGGTGTGTCTGCGCCAATTTCCACCGACAGTATAAAACCAACGCATCCTTCAATAGCACAAACGCACATCCGCCAACAACGCTCCGGCCCCAGCGAGTCTGCAGCAGTCCTGGTCGGACCTTTCCCAGCGTAGATGGCGTCGTCCATGAAGTGGGGAAGAGGTACTTCAACAGCCCGCCCATCGACGCAGATATGGCGGGAAACGCAAGTGCTCCGAGGATGATATCCGCCAGACTGCTTGTGTCGGCTACCAGCTCATCCCGTCGTCCCAAGCCCAAGGGTTGGCCGTTTCCACCCTGGTTCTGCCCTTGTCCACCCTGCGCATTTCCTCCATTAAAGCCGAACAAGCCCTGCGGCCCATCTTCATTGCCCATGCGTAGCTCCAAATCGATCTCCATCAGAACACCGTTGTCATCATTAGGTGGGTCTGGCTCGGGATGTTCGGGCGGCGCATTATCATCAAACTCATTGACATCCGACTGGCGCGGTTGTACTTCCGCAATCCACCTCCGCTCCAACTTGCCGAACATTCGCTCGTAGATACTGTCGTAGAAGCTTTTCAGGTACGGAAGAGCGGCTAACGTGACTGCCGCACTGGGCGGCCAAAGATCCAACTCCAGCTCCTGTCCGGGTTGATGTGTGGCAAAGAACATCACGGGGATGGCGGGGAGAAGACCATCTGCATACCGAGTGCGCGAGAAGATCAACACGAGCGGGATGAGGGGCAACTCCAGACTGAGCCCAGGATTCCATCTTCCATCTGCTGTTCCCTCCAGAATCTGTCGAGCTTCGTCGGTCCCAAAGACACATTACATTGAGTATACTCCATGCGCGCGGCACCCCGCCCAGAGGGTTGCCCGTGTGAAAACCACTCCGGGGAGGACCATGCGGTCAGCGAGGCGCTCAACCCGCCGCACAACATCCATAATATAGCTTCGGGGACGGGAAACGATAATTTCAGTCTTGCATTGCGGACACAGCATCTTTGCGTCATGGCCGTTGCGCCTCCGCGATCGGGGATTCTCGAGATCCGCCAACCAGTCGAGCAGGCAAGCTTCGTGGGCGGTCAAGGCGCAAGGACATGGCGAGCGCCATTGTGAATTGAGGGGGGAGTCCTCGGTCTCATCTGTATAGCAAATCCAACATCTGCGTGGTTCCTCACCAGACGCATCGGCGAGGGTCGGACTCGTCGGGGAGCCATGGGCGGTGGCGGTATCCGAGGTGCCGTTGAGCAGGACGGTATCGCTAGTTTCAAACGATTCCGTTGATGAAGCGCTGCTGGTTATATTCGTGGATACGCTGTTCTGTTGAGTAGTGGAGGTAGTATTATTATCAGATGATTGTGGCCGACTAGAGGCCGAATAACCTGGGAGGGAAGCCATGATGTGGGAGACGCAAGAGGGGGTGGATACAACAGTAGTAGAGGAGTTGGACGGGGAATTACGGAAACAAGCACTGCATCATGTGTGGAGAGGGAGGTTAGTCAAGTTGGGTCAGTCACCAGACGGTGAGAGAGAGAGAGAAAGAGAGAACTGGAGGCGAGAACGGAGGGGAGAGAGAGTTGAGAGTCACAGCCCTATTAGGCAGCTCCAACATCTGCACTCTGCCCCAGCAGAAGCAGCAGTAGCAGAAGCAAATATCTCAGTCAGCAAGTCAGACGATGTCTCAGTCGGACCCAGACTCTTAGTACCAGCTGGAAGAAGGACAAGACTACTATTACTTACTCCGTACTACTTTTCCCACTTCCCAGCCCCCCGCTAGTGACCTTCGGATGTGAACCGCGGCTGTTCGGCGGCGAAACATAAAGGCGCGCATTCCGCGGACCCCAATGCTCGGTCATCACGTGATGTCTAGTCAATCACCTCACTTTGCGCCATCATGGCGGATGCAGCAATCTTGATGACTTTTCCATAGACTAACTGCTCACTAGTGAAATTAGCATCCTCTACGTAGCTGCTCCAGTCAGCACTAATCATCGCGTCATTCAGGAACACTCCTCCCTTCTCAATGCCTCATGATAGTATTTCTCCAAGGTCATACAAAAGATTACAGCAACATAAGGATTATATACAGCTGGATTTCCCACAACAACATTTGAGGCAACTTTTGCGCGCAAGCCATAATGCAAACGGTGAAAATGGAGGGGAAAAAAGAAAAAAAAAAAAAAGATAAGGAGGTCCAAGCCCAGCTAGAGGTCAATTTCAGCCCAGGACCGCTGTACAGGATTGAGTGGAGCCATTATAGAATGCTCTTCGCGGTCCTGCAGCATGCTAGTCCAGGGCTCTCTGGTCGGAGTTGACCGCTGCAGCTTGTCTCCGGGGCGCAGACCGGCACCCGCTAGCGTTTTAGAACCTGCCAGAAACGCCATGGATATCAAGAGATCAGAAATGGGTGGGCACTTTTGCAGCTTTCAAATAACAGGCATGGCAACTCATCGCTAGCGTCCGCGGCATCACTTAGAAACCGGGAACTTTCCGCTTCTTCATCAGAGCCTTGCGCTCCTTCTCCTTGGCTGTATTGCAAAGAATTATATTAGCATTCATTTACCCAATCAGGAAAAAAAAATTATAGTGCATACCTTCGTCATAAACAAGGAACTCGTGCAGGGCACAGCCAGCGGGCACCATGGGGAGCACAGGCACCTTGCGATCAGTGAACACTTCCAGAAGGGCAGGGCCGTCCTGCTCGATCAGCCACTTGAGCTTCGCCTCAACCTCCGAGGGCTTGGTGCAGCGGTCGGCGGCAACACCCATGGACTGGGCCATGGGAACGAAGTCGGGGTTCTTCTGGTGAGTGTGCGAGTACCGGTCCTCGTAGAACAGGTTCTGCCATTGCGTCACCATACCCTGTTCCTCGTTGTTCAGGAGGAGAACCTTCACACCAATGTTGAACTGAGCAGCAGTGGTGAGCTCAGTCAGGGTCATGTTGAACGAGGCATCACCATCGATATCAACGACAAGAGCGTCAGGGCGGGCAACCTTGGCACCAATGGCAGCGGGGAGACCGTATCCCATAGTTCCAAGACCACCAGAGGTGATCATGGTACGGGGGTGGCGCCAGCGGAAGTGCTGAGCAGCCCACATCTGATGCTGACCGACACCAGTAGTGATGACAGTGCGGTCCTTCATGTGAGCGGTGAGATCGCTGAGCTTCTCAATTACAGCCTGGGGCTTGATGGGTCCCTCAGCAGTCTGCTTCTCATAGAGGGAGAAGGGGAAGCGAGCCTTCCAGTCGTTGATCTGCTCGAACCACTCCTTGCGCTCAGCAACGGGCTCGACGTGGGGCAGGAGGAGACGGATGTTCTCAGCACAGTCACCCTCAACAGCCTCGTTGGCCTGGACAACCTTGTTGATGTTCTTGGGCATGATTTCAAAGTGGACGATACCACCACGGTTCTCCGAGGCAGCAAGCTTGGCCTGGGGGGCGAACTTGGAGATGTTACCAGTCACACGGTCATCGAAGCGAGCACCGATAGCGATGATGAGATCAGCCTCCTGCATAGCCATGTTGGCATAGGCAGATCCGTGCATGCCCAGCATGTGCAGGGCCTTGGGGTCCGTTTCGTCGAACCCACCCAGACCCTGGAGAGTGGTGGTGACCGGAATGCAAGCCTTGTCGGCCAGCTCCTTCAAGATCTGGGGTCCTTCAGGGCGAGCAAGGAGACCCTGACCCACATACAGGATGGGCTTCTTGGAAACGTTCACGAGGCGGGCCACACGGTTGATGGTACCTTGCAGCTGCTGCATGCTCAGTTCGCGGGCGGCCATGGTCGCAGCGCTGGGGAGAGAGGGCAGGGTGCTGTTCATGGGGATGGGTTTACGGAGAATACCGGCGGTAATATCCTTGGGCAGATCGACGAGGACAGGTCCGGGGCGGCCGCTGGTGGCGATTTCGAAGGCCTCCTGGATGCGACGGGGGAGTTCAGCGACGGACTTGACCATGACGTTCCACTTGGTGCAAGCACGAGAGATACCGATAACATCGGCTTCCTGGAAAGAATCGGTACCGATCAGGCTGGTAGGCACCTGACCGCAGAAGACGACCATGGGGGTACCGTCCGAGAGGGCATCCTGCATGGGGGTGATAACGTTGGTGGCTCCAGGGCCGGAGGTGACAAGGACGACACCGGGCTTTCCAGAGGCACGGGCGTAGCCTTCGGCCATGTGTCCGGCGCCCTGTTCATGTCTCGGAAGAACGAAGTCGAAGTGTTTGGAGTTGTAAATAGCATCGAAGACGGGAAGAATGGCACCTCCAGGGTAACCAACTAAAAGTAGTGGGTCAATCTTACGGTCTTGAAGAACATCGGGAAACCGAGAAAAAAGACGCGTGACTCACAGACATGCTTGACGCCAAGACGCAGCATCATCTCATGAAAGATCTCTCCTCCACTGAGTCCGACAAAGCTGTTTACGCTCCAAGAACCAGGTCAGCTCTACTCCCATGAGTCATCTATGTTGTTGAAGGGACTGCATACGAGTCGTCCAGTTCGGGGACCTGGCGATTTTGCAGTGGCGAGACCTCATTGCGGTGAGGTTCCTGGTTGAAGGCAGGGCTGGGAACAGGTCTTGTGCCTCTGGAAATTCACAGACATGTTAGCAACAGTCATTGACAGCCCAGTAGCTATCTGGACGCTAATTGTAGATAATACTCACTCAGCCGGGGCAGTTGCGGTGCTCTGGAATCTCTTCTGAGCTGAAAAGCGGTGGGGCGCGGTCGCAGCAACGGAAGCAGTGGTAAAAGTCATTCTGCCGGAGGCGATATACCTCTGGTAATGCAGAGCGCGCATGGCGCTTTTAGAAGGTCTCATAGGCATCATCTTGATGGCGGATGACTGCCAGGCCTGGGGAACAGAGAAAGGGGAGTGCTCACAACGGGGAAAAAGAATGGGACCAGGAAGTGTGAGTAAGAGATCCGTTCCTTAAGGCAGGAGCGAAGACTCAGACTTCGGGGACGGTTATGGTTGCATTCTAGCCTGTCCTGGTCTAGCGCCGTTGGAGTCGAATAATCTCGGTCTTCCCATTGGCTACGGATACTCCACTGCTCCGATCATCGGCCTTCTGGACGCGAAAGCGGTCACCTGATTGGGATGCAAGACCCTCGTTTCGTCCTGGTCTTTACCAGAGCAACGCCTTGCAAAATTGCAATAATACAGGCGAGGGATGTTGATGATGGAAACTAACGTTGCACAACGACGTATATTTCTTTGCTATTAATTGTCATGGTGCGGCCTTTTGTGTCAAGGTTCCAACTGCTATACGATCCTGTAATCAACTAGCCCGGTTTACTGCTGACATACTCCTAGTCCTCATAGCAACCAAGAGACATAAGGGATAATAATCGATTACAACTCACGGACTACATCCTTTAGTAATTAGGGCTTCTATAAATGCCACTTTAACCATACCTCCATCGATCTGTGGTAATCACAGACTTTCGAGATTTCTACACATACTCCTACCGCGGGTGCCGGTCCGAATACGGCTCGCTAATGCATCTCCATCACATGCAGGTAACCGGCATGAAAAAGAAAGCAAGTGTTGTATGATTCTCACCCGCTACTATTTACTGGTGCAGTAATTCTCCGTGGAGGGGCTGTCTATTTCCTATGAAGATGACTCACTCGTAACATTGGCCAGTGATTCCTGAACAATGCCTCCAATTCCAAATCCTAGGAACATAGGCACCTCGGCCTTAAACTTCCTTTATTTTCATGAAGCTGGGCCGAGTTCAGTTGAGCATATACATCAGGGCTGCCTGCAGACTGCTTGTTCGGCCTTGCGTCAGATATGCAGAGTTTCTGCCGCAATGAGAACTTGCGTATTTCATCCAAAGTACTCTAGACGGAGTACAGGTTTATGTGCTCGTGACCTGAAAAAATGAGCCGTTGTGGCCAGAATGGTGTAGTCCGTCCTTCCGCATAAGGTAAGAACCAAAGAGGATATAATGCTCTCTCGCTTCACATGAGTTGCGCATGAGAAATCCTCCGCGGCACTTTTGACCCTTCCCAAGTTGAGAAGTAGGTAGGCGCAGAGGGTTACTGCAACGAGCCCTTCCGAGATCGGGAGTACCCGACCTTGTTGTGAAGTAACTCCAGAAAGTTGCGGGATGAACTCATATACCGAACAGCAACCGTTTCTTTTCTGGAAAAGAGATTGTGTATCAAGATATAATTTCTTCACTTTCTTGATAACGATCGGAATGTGATGTATGTACCCCACAATTTCCATCCAATGCTTGTCAGTCTTAACTCAATCGGGCGACTAAGCTAACAATAGTCAACTGGGCATAGACACCAAGACCTGACTAAGAGCAGTATAGATCGATTAGTTATATTGTCTTTTGATTAGTACTCATAGTTGGCTGGTGGCTGACCGGACTGTTATACAGACAACCGTGTGATTTGCAATGTTGAGCATCCACTCGGCCGTCCAGAAGCCGAGGCCAGCTGGGTTCGGCTAAATTGGGTGCCCTGCGGGATTATTGGGAAGAGGATGCCTTGCACGGTATCAATTGGCCGGTACCTGTCGAATCCATTGCCGATGAGGCAATGAAACTGAGATAGATGAGAGATAACAATTTACCGGACTTCGAAGATACGGCTCGCCGTCGACACATCACGAGAGTGACATCCCGACCGAACTGGGGGTCCCCAGGGGCCCATGCCGAATCAGCCGAAACACACGGGGAATCGGTTGAAAAGGACTGGAGAAGCGAGTCGGAGAGCCGTCCAGCGAGCGAGTGTCATTTCCGGGCAAACTCCACTCTTTCCCCGGCCCTCAAGCAATCACACCTCCAGACTATCCCGCCCGTGACCAGCCTGTTATGCTCAATCCGGAACCGATCAGGGTCTCTGCGGAGCACCTCCAGCTCGAATTTTTCCCTCCTATCCTGGCGATTCAGGAACGCTGACGTTTTAGCCGATATTAAATCTATTTGTCTTACTTTCTGCTGTTCCTTTTCCCCTCTTCGTTTTCCTTTTTCCTTGCCTCATTCTCATCTTTTCCCATATCCCGCTCCCCTCGTGTGATCTGCCACTTTTCTTTTTCCTCACATTTCTACCCCGCCATGGCAACCCCGCAGGAACTCGTCCCCCAGACGGAATCCATCGCTGAGGTCTACGCAACCGACGATGCCTCCGTCACTTCGGTTGCACCTCACCATCAGTCTCGTTTCAACAACCTGGTCTCTCAGTTCACCAAGGTTTACAGCTACCGTCCCGATTTCGTGGCCCGCAGTCCCGGTCGCGTGAACATCATCGGTGAGCACATCGACTACAACCTGTATGATGTCCTTCCTACGGCAGTAAGCGTGGACGTGATCATTGCTGTAAAGGTCGTCCCTGCGACTGGCTCCGACTCCGTTGTAAAGATCGCCAATGTCAACCCGGAGAAGTTCCCTGCCCGCGAGTTCGTCGTGCCCCGTGACACGGACATTGAAATTGACCCTAAAAAGCATGAGTGGGTTAACTACTTCAAGGCGGGACTCCTGGGCGCCCTGAAGTTCTTGCGCAAGCAGAATGCAGACGGCTCTTTTGTGCCCGCTAGTATGGAGGTCCTCCTGGACGGTAATGTGCCTCCGGGTGGGGGTATTTCCAGCAGTGCGGCTTTCGTGTGTGCCAGTGCCTTGGCCGTTATGAAGGCCAACAACCATAATGTTTCGAAGCAGGATCTTCTTGATTTGGCAGTAGTGTCTGAGCGCGCAGTCGGCGTTTACTCCGGAGGGTAATTTGCACCTGACCACTTCACTCTGTCGTTCAGTGCCCTAACTCTACTGCTTACCTAGAATGGACCAAGCCGCCTCCATCTTCTCTCGCCGAGGATACCTGCTGTATACCCAATTCTTCCCCAACTTCTCCGTTCAGCACGTCCCAATCCCTAAGGCAGACGAGGAAATCACCTTCCTTATGGCCCAGAGCTTTGTCACCTCCAACAAGGCCGAGACCGCTCCCCGTCACTACAACCTTCGCGTCGCTGAGTGCACGCTTGCCGCCGTGGTCCTGGCTGCCCGCAACGGCTTGACCCTCCCCAAGGACAACAGCTCCCTCGGGTTCAGTCTCCGTAACTTCCACAACGAGCTGATGCGCAAAGAGGGCCGTCTCGGCGATCCCCTGGAGTACCAGATCGACTCCGTCATCCAGAGCACTCTGGAGCTTCTGACACAAGAGGAAGGATACACCCGCGAGGAGATCGCCAAGCTCCTTGGTATCACAGTCCCCGAGCTCGAAGCCAAGTACCTCTCTTCCTTCCCTGTCCAGGCAGAACGTTTCCTCCTCCGGCAACGCGCCCTGCACTGCTTCACCGAGGCCCGTCGGGTCCTGGACTTCAAGGCATGCCTCGCTAAGGCGAGCACCCTCGATGAAAGACGCATCCAGTATCTGGGTCAACTCTTGAACGAGTCCCAGGCTTCTTGCCGCACCCAATACGAGTGCAGTGCACCGGAGGTGGATGAGATCTGCGACATCGCCCGTCGTGCCGGAACCCTGGGTAGCCGACTGACTGGTGCCGGATGGGGCGGTTGCACCGTCCACATGTTGCCTCAGTCTAAGGTCGAGGCTGTTACCAAGGCCTTGAAGGAAGAATACTACCTGAAGCACTTCCCGGATATCAGCGAGGAGAAGTTGGCTGAAGCCATGGTCATCAGCAAGCCCTCTAACGGATCGTTCATGTATGTCTCTACCCTAGGTTCTTCTCCCACTTGTGCAATGATACTAATGTAATCTACAGGGTCACGGGCGCAGCTATTGCCCAGGTTGAGGTTTAGAGGTGGTGTAGTATTCTCTTTTCAAAGTAGTGCGTCATATGGTTGGCATCTTGACCTTGGATCTTTCAGCGTTGGTTCTTGTTTCCCTTGCAGATTGCAAACCCAATCGCGACAATTCTGTGTCCCATTGGAAATCCAAGCGCTTGTGTATATCGTGTGAGAGTATATGTACAAATGGGATCATCTTCGCGACGGGTCTATCTTTTTGGGATGTTTCCTGCTTAGAAGCGGAAGGCAGTGATGACTTGTCTGCAAATTTTTGCCCCAGTCGCTCGATGCATCGCAGCCAGGAGGCCAGGGTTACCGCGCCCAAGTCACGAGTAGAGTAACGGAACACCCGGGGATTCTATCCATCCCGCTGGAATACAGACCCCGCATAGACCCAAGGCGTCTCTAAGATTCCGAGATGTGATCACAACAATATCCAAAACCCATCAACTCTCAAGTCTTCTTCTTCGCAGCCGCCTTTCCAAAGAAATCGCTCATCTTCTTCATTCCCGTCGTATTAACCTTTTTGAGATCCCGGACCCCCCTCGACTCATTCGCCTTCTTCTTCTTCTCTTCTTCCTCCATCCTCCGCTTCTTCTCCGCCCTCGACTCCGCAGCCTCCTGATCTTCAACACTTCTCTTCCGCGAGAAATCCCCCAGCGATCTCGTCGCCAGTGCCTCCGCCCTCAGCTTCGCCACAAGGTCCAAATGATCCCGCATCGGCGTAAAATCCTTCGGACTCTCCGGCGCAGCTAGCAACTCATCTATCCGCGCACTCATCTCTTTGGATAAATAGCACTCTTTCATGAATGCCAGCGCTGTGGATATCCGGAGGAGGTTTGCTACGCCGTCAGGAGCTTTCAAGCCTTCGGGGAGGTGCTCCTTTGCATCTTCATTATTCGCGGTGGCCTTCTCCCCCTCCTCTTTGCCATCTTCGCCATCTTCGCCCTCATTCTCCTTATTCTCCCCCGTAGCCACCACATCATCTCTTTTCACCGCCATCAGCGGCGTCGCCAGCGCCTGTCTAACAAATCTCTCCTCAAGACTCGGAGGCAGCCCCACGCTAACCATTCTATCCGCCTTGGCGACAAGTTCCTGGAGGAGTTTCGTCTCGTTAAACCGGAACATCTTCTCGTCGCCCGCTTCAACGGAGTCGCTTATCGCAGCGGCGCGGGCGTGCAGTGTCCCGCGAAAGGTTTCGTCGTAGAGTACATGGCGGAGGTGAGGTGAGAGGAGCTCCTCGTCCAGCGAGTCGATGATGTCGTCTAGGGGTTGGAAGAGGTTGTTTTGTTTGGTGTTTGCGGTGAGGATGGGAATGAGAAAGAAGAGGATGTCAATGGGGGTGGCAAGGAGGAGTTCGGCTTTCTTGGAGATGTGCGCTGGCGGTTGGGATGTGGATGATGAGGTGGGATTGGGATTGCGAACGAGGAGGGTGCTTCGCGGTGCGGTGGGAGGGGATGAGAGGACGGTGAATTCGTATACGCCTAGTTTGGGGTCGAAGAAGTAGCGGGTTGGCGAGGCGGTTCGTGGGTTGGGAAGGGTGAGGAAGCGGGCGTCGGCGCCCGCGGTGGAGGGGAGGATGAAGGTTTTCTGGGGGGTGGATTGCGCTGGGAGAGCTGATGTAGATGCTGCTGTTGTTTGGTCATCGGAGGTGGATGGAGGAGATTGGGGTTGCTCCGATGGAGCGCTGGAGCGGGTTCGCATTGTGATGATGGAATACGTGAGAAGTACTCCGTATACGAGAGGTTATATGAGGTAGATAGGTGTTATTGGCAGTTCATTAGGAGCAATTGGCAAACGAGGATGAAAGTGGAACTGAAGATAGCGAAATGGAAATATTGACGGATAGTCCGAAGGGGAAAGGCAAGTAATAATGGTAATTGAAACGCGTCTTTTTCACTGGTTCAACGCGACACGCGCTAGCCAATCAGAGACCGTTGCGACACAAGTCAGCGGGCAGGCATGCATGGGCCTCAGGCCGCGGGCGAGAAAGGAAACTAAAGGCGGATTGGTTGCAGCTCACTTTCATTCCCTTGCGTTTCATTTCATGCAGGCCTGCGGTTCCTGCTCCCCCTTTCTTTCTTCGTCAGAGTCTTGAATCCGTCAGGTGGCTGAGTTATTTTGCTGCTCCTGTCTTCCGAACCCCAGAGCCCCAGGTTTCGAACGACGCCATTCCCCGCATCCCTTCGTTGAGTGAATATGGCAGGAAAGGTAGCACGATAGATAGAAGACGATAAGCGGGATCGGAATTCAAGTGCTGCATTTTTCTTCTACCGAAACTAAACCAGGACTAATACCGTGGATGCGATGACAAGCAGTGAGTGAGTGCCTTGTGTTTCTGTTCAGCTCGATCTTAGTTCCGTGCACATAGATTCGCTGACGCGCCGCTGTTGCAGTGGCCGAGATCTCGTGGCCACCAAAGTCCCCTCGGGATGCTCTCTTGAGTACTCCGAATGGTCGCAAGAGGTATGAAGACATGCAGCGACGTCGCGAGCACCTGGGTTCGCCTTTGAAACACTCTGTCACTACCCCCGATTTACGATCCAAGGCGTCACAACTTCTCAGCGACGGGGTAGACGAGGGCGAAGATGATGAGGACGAGGAAACACTACAGTTGAAGCTTGCAGCCATTGAGGCGCGTCTCAAGCTCAAGCAACTTCAGAAAAGCCGCACGAAAACGGGGACACCTGGACCGGATAAGCATGGCGGGGAGACTTTCTCTAGACCTGCGTCAGCAATTGGCTCTTTCCAGGGACAGGATGAGCCAATAGGGACAAGAAATAATGGCCATGGGACGGATAGCACTGCTCATATTGATGATGTCCAGGTACCGCTGTCGCCGACGAGACGTGCTGCTCCTCCCACAGATCCTGTGTCCCCGCGGAGGTATTTGTTAGGCATTGACAAAGGTCTCAGAAGTAGGGATGTGTCGCTGAAGCGTCCACCCAGCTCACGAGGGGCTAATCCGCCAGCAAGTAGGCCCGGAACGCGAGAAGGTTTAGTCACTCGATCTGGCAGTCTTCTGCAAGCAATAACCGTGGGTGGGGAGCGCAGCCGTCCAAAAAGCTTCAGTGAACGTATGGCTGAGAGCCGGTCTGCCGATGCGTCTCGGAGAGAACGAGCAGCACGAATGGAGAAAATCCAGGCGAGTCGAAGCTCAGCCTTCCAGATCGACAAGGCAGAAGTGGAGGCCTTCAAAGCAGCTGCCGAGTCAAGGAAGGACGTTCCAGGTTCGCCAACGAGGAGGCGACGAGCCGAAAGCTTCAGTAGAGAAGATGTCCTCCGGTCATATAATCTCAAGCCGTCGCTGAAAAGGGGCCGGAGCCAGACCACGTCTAGCGTACAGAGATCTGATGATGGTGTGGCTGATGCGAAGGAGTCACTGCCATATTTTCACCGACGGAACCACAAGTCTGAGTCTGAGGTACCTGCCAGCTCTCAAAATAGTGCAACCGATGATTCTCAAGGCGAGAAAAGTGGGGACTCCTCGAAGTTTGAAGCCTTCTCTTCATTGCACTTGTCCAACCGCATCTTACCCCATTCGTTCTTGTCTCGAACCCTGGAAGACAAGAAAGCTCTCCGAATCCCTGATCTGCTACGCACAGTGAAGGCGCCTGACTTTGAACTGCCGGAGGATATCGACACAGACTACGTTGTGTTCGGTATAGTAGCATCGAAATCAGAGCCTAGGCAAATAAAGCAACCGGCCAACGCTACTAAGAAGGAAGTCGATCCATTCGACGATGGAACGAACAATACCAACCAATACATGGTCATCACTCTGACGGATCTGAAGTGGACGATTGATCTCTTCCTATTCGATACTGCCTTCCCACGATACTACCGAATTTCCGAAGGGATACTCATTGCCATTCTAAATCCTACAATAATGCCACCACCAAAGAACAAGACCGACACCAACAGATTCAGTCTCGCCATTTCCTCCTCTGATGACAAGATCCTTGAGGTCGGCTATGCGCAAGACATTGGATTCTGCAAGGCCGTCAGGAAGGACGGCAAGACCTGCCACTCTTGGGTTGATGGCCGGAAGACAGAATTCTGCGACTTCCATGTCGACCTACAGGTCCGTCGGACACAAGCAGGTCGAATGGGAGTAAACGGCGGCACAGGCATGTATGGTCCTGGCGGCCGCTCAGGGTCTCGAACCGGTTTCTACGGCGGTGACAAGAAAGGTCGTCCCCAAAATGGACTGAAGCCAAACGGCGCAAGATACGACTACCAATCACAATCATCATACTACGTTGCGCCAGCTCCAAAATCCAGGGGCGGCGGTTCCTCCTTTCACCCTCACCCGTCTGGTCAATCTGCCGCAGCCCTAATCGATGCAGATCATGACGACCCATTCATCGCTGCGGGGATGATGGGCCGTGGCATGGAAAGCAAAGAGGAGCGCTTCCGCAGACGGCTCGCGGAGAAGCAACGCGAACGCGACATCGCAGACAAGCTGATCTCCCGTACTGGAGGTGTTGGTGCTGAATACCTTCGATCTCGAGATAACGACAATGTCCAATCAACCCGTCCCGAGCAGGCAAAGAACAACTTAGATGCGTTTTCCACCACAAATCTGGGCATCTCGAACTTCAGGAAAGCAGACAGCGTGAAGCTGAGCCCATTGAAACGCGCTCATGACGGTGACAGACCCCACGGCAGCGGTGTCAAGAAGACCCGGTTCATCACTTCCCATGGCATCAAGGAGGCCGGAAGAGACAGTCTAGGAGGAAAGCCCGACATGGTGCCGACGAACTATGATGATGACGACGACGATGAACTAGACATCATCTAAAGAGAAAAGCAACCCCTTTCCAGTGTTATGAAAAAGAATATAGATACCCTTCGTTACCTGCAACGCAGTTGACCCCGTCCTTCTACGGCGAATATCCCAAATGAAACATCAGTCATTCCAGTGTCACTCACCATCAGCGCAACTCACTCGCTAGCCCGAATAAACATAAACAACAGAGAACATAGTCGACTCGTTTTGTTTGACACCAACTTACCACTTTCATTCCACTTAGCAACTGAAACATGAACAGCAACAGAATTGATACACCGTCTTGGTAGCCACTGGAATAGTCCCCTTCGTTTCCCCTTACTCGAACAAGAGAATGAATGAATGAACGAGATTTCTTTTCTAATTTGCCTTGACTTCCAACGAACGACTAACTGACTTATGACGTTTTGAGCACGCCTGTCTTTCTCTATTTATTCTTTGTACGAGTACCCCGTTTCGTTCATCTTCCCGACGCTGTCTTGCGGGTTATTTGGGAGATAAGTTGTATTATTAGCAAAGTACCCATTCTTAGCTTTTCTTTCTAAGTAATGAATATACTGGTAGTCTGCTTGAACAATTGATCGTTTGTTTACAAGTGAGGACTACAATACTGCTGTCTCTTGCTGGCATGAAGGAATTCTTGTAGGTAAAGGGTAAAGAGCTTAATAGGAGATGGTATGATGTAATTGGTCTTAGGTATATATGTTTATGATCAAAGGAAGAAGGCGTATGGGAAAGCTGACATCACACTTTCATGTTCATTGATTGGTATCTAAGTTGATTGTAGGAGAGAAAACTCTCGAGCTAGCTAACTAAGCTGTAGAAAGGCCGGGGAGCTCAAGACGAGCAAGTCACAGAGACAGACATAAGTAGTTGAAGGAAGCAGAGAACACGCCGGCAAGATGAAAATAAGAAGCATTGAAAGAAGCGGGAATAAGAGGGGAAGAGAAAAGAAAGAAAAGAACACACAAAACTCCATCCCATGTGCCAGTCCAGCCCATTTACCTATCCGTCCGTCCCATTTAGCCCATCATATCGCGCCTGTACCCTTTCTCCGACTGATCACTCGGAGTCATTGTTATGTTCAAGACAAAAGATGATGGTGCTTCAGTAGCTGATATCAAACAAACGGAAACTGAATTGAGGACAGCCGGACACATTAAAAAAAACCTAGTATAGTCGACCTATAAGTCAAGGACGCCAGTGAATATCGAACGAGAAGATAGAAGAACGCTGAAAACAAGGACACTCGTCAAGATTTGCGTTTCTTTTTGCGGTAGGATCCGTGACGGTAAGATCAAGGAAGACTCTGCTTCCGACGGCTTCAGGGCTCCACTGGTAGCCTTGCATATAGGCGGACAAGATCATGCTCACGACGCAGTCGCTTTGTTGCCTCGGGTCTTCTTGGGAGCTGGGCCACCAGGGCTGCCAGCGGCTTCGGCATCTCGCTTCTTGGCTTTGGTCCCTGTCAGAGCAGGAGCTGTCTTTTTGCGGAGCCAGCCGTCAAACGGACTGACGCGCTTTTTCTTGGTTTCGGAGGCCGTGGGTGTCTCGCCATGCTCGGGACCATCTCGCTTGGATCGCGAACGCAGTGACCGCATCGTAGCCCCGGGGGACGGCGGAGTTGCAACAGTGGATTGCGGGGGAGGAGTGACAGGCCGCTGCTGCATCTCCACGTCAACTGTAGGATTTTCATCCTCCTCGACCTCATCGTGAAGTAGATGGTCCTCAATATCAGTGGCCGCCTCCTCATCGACATCGCTCGAACGAGATTCTTGAGGGGTCTGAGACTTCGCGGTAGGGAAGAGCACGCGAGGCTTGATTGACGAGCGAGTGAGTGGACGAACAGTGTCGATAGATGAGTCGATCAGGTCTGGACGGGCTGCCAGCAAGCCCAAGTCATCATCGTCATCATCAAGGTCGCTCTCAGCATCATCCGTGAACTTGCGAAACATTTTCTTGCCTCGACTGCGGAATATGTTAGAACACAAGACAAGGTAAAATAGGAAAAACCGTGGAACTTACAAAACGTAAAGCATGCCATCCTCACGATTAAGCGAGTCGTCTATCTCCTTGTCGCGGCGGGTCTCTTTGCGTCTGGAAGCACGAGTAGTTGTGTTGCTGGCCGTAGGTTTGTTGTAGAACGGATTATCTTCGCTTTTGTCGACTTCCGGGATGCGATCGCGCGAGTCGGTGTAAATCTGAATCTCTGAGCCACCCTGTGTGTCGTCTTCGCAGAAACTATCCAATGAAAAGCCCGTGTGTTTCTTCGTCTTCTTCCTGGCACTAGGAGGGGGAAACAGCACTCGTGCGGTGTTTCCAACATCCGCGATAGCCTTCTTGCGAGGCGTCTTGGCAGGAGTGGGAAGCATTCCTTCGGTCATAGTCGGTCGAAGTGATCGCGATTGATGACGGAGAGAGGAAGGTCCTGCGCCGAAGGGGTCGGAGTCATTTGTGCCGGAGGGCCCTTCAAGTGAATGTGTCGCGAACAAGCCAGTAGCCCGGGCCGACTTGAGCTTCCGGGGCGAGGTTTGGACTGAGCCAGGAGGGGACAGAGTGTCGGATTCATTCATGTCGTACTTGTTCGCAGTCTTCGAGCTCGGAAAGTTAGGCGGGGGAGTGGTTCGAGACTCTCTGTCTCTGGCAGCGCGTTGGCTCGCTAGCCTGGCTGAGTATCGTGTCGAATATGGCTCATAATCATCGTATTTAGCTCCAAGTCGCGGAGTAGGTGGGATTCGTAGCGTGGAGGGCGGTGGTGGTGTTGTGGCCATTGTGAATAAGATGCAGAACACGGGCTAATACAGGTCCAGTGTGACTGTGACAAGCTCGATAGCCCCAATTTCAAATTCACGATAATACCCAGCTAAACCGATAGATGTGAATCCAAAAGAATTGAGATATATAAGGGTGGTGGGTGACGAGAATCAGGCCGTGACAGGTTCAAGGGCGATAAAAGGGAGGAAAACGCCAAAAGCCGACCGTGTAAACCAAGGGTAACAGGGCGCGCAATATCGATGGGCGTGTCACTATCAAAGAGCAGATCCAAGGGAGCGAGACCAATGGAACGGTAGTAGCCGTAAACAAAGAGAGGAGGAGTAGTGGTGGTAAGAGTGGATGTAAATGTGGATGTGGATGTGAGGGAGAGAAGGTGGTAGTTAGTGACTGGGGAAAGGGAGGGAAGAAGAGACGAGGTGAGGTTCAGAGTGGATGGCTGGTGCCCGCGATCTGGAATGTTTGGCCCGCTGGTGGTGCTTCTGTCGCGTCCCAGCCACACCTTTTTCGACGCCTTCTTCCGCTTCGTTTAGGCTTTAACGACTAACCAATTGCTTGGGTATCGACTAGACTAATTCCATAGTCGGACTATTATACTCTCCCATCCCAACGACTGGCTGAGACTGCCCCACGATATTTAGCTGTCGATCGGCATTCTTCCTTTCTTCATTGGTGGTGGTTTCCCCTTCCCCTCCGCCAGCTGGTGCAATAATTCACTACTACGATTTTGTACCTTTGTTTCCTTTATCAAACAAAACAATCATTGTTTCCACAACCACGTCTCCCCCTTACCATCGCCATTGACCACCACCACCACCCATTCAATCTACTCCGCCTAAACAATGATGCACCGCAGCACCGCAGAGGAAATGGACAGGCTTCAGCTGTCTGATGATGACTCTGATGACCTTTGGGATTCCCCCTCTAAACGCGGAAATAAAATACTACATCAGAGAGCTGTGAAGGAAGAGAGCATGTCGCCAGAACCTACAATCACCCATGATGCAGGGGAAACTCTGTTTGATCGCCAGGAGGCGCGGGAAGCCGCGTTGCGCAGTGAATTAGAGAGCGTCCGCAAGATCAACCAGGTCATTGAGGGGCTGCTAGGAAGCCTGGATTGTGCTAAGGAGAACATGGGTGTAGGTTCAAGTCTAACTGATCGCCACCGACTCTGTACAATTGCAATTGCTAACCGGTGATGACGATAATCCGTAGACTGTCTCGCGCACCATAGATTCCGCTTCTACATTGCTCAATACTTGGACGCGTATCCTCTCCCAGACCGAACACAACCAGCGGTTAATCCTCAATCCTAATTGGCAAGGCGCCGTTCAAGATGTGGCCGACATGGAAAACGAAGAACTCCTCCGGCAACAGGCCGCAGAGAGACGCGAACGGGAACTCCAGCAGCAAAGGGAAGCTGCTGCCCGGAAGGCTGAAGAGGATCAGCGAAAGAGAGCGCTGGCCGCGGGCTCCCGCACGACGCGTGGGACGACCACTCGTGGACGGGTGGTGCGTAGCGGCCTGGGAAGGACTCCAAGCACCTCGTACTCAGGGACAAGCTCCAGCACTACCAGGACTACCTCATCTTCAACATCCAAACCATCGACGACCTCCACAACGCGTAGACCGGTCAGTGGGATCGCGCGGGGCACAGGGATTGCGCGGGGGCGCGGCAGGGCGTAGAGGCGGGCATGAACAGACGGTTTTCCATGTACAGTACTACGAGAGGATATGAGACGAAAGCCAATGACAATGATGATAGGATGATACCCAAGACAACACGCAAGTTATGTGAGGTGGGTGAGGTGGAAAGAATAATGTAACCACAATACTGAATACTGCATGGCTGCAGCGGGGAATTGATAAGGTGCCTGAGGCGACGAACTGGGGCGCCGCGATAAAGCTACTTTGTACTAGTAGCTCAGGCGTGGGCTGATAAGCGCGTCTCCCGTCAATCCATCCCGTTTTGTCTGTCCTTACTTTCTCTCCTGGCATTCGTCCTCTCATATTCCGCTCATCTCCTTCTCAAGATGAACTTTGCGCCCTACCAGGACGAGTCGCCCGAGGTGGAACGCGCCTTTTCGCCGTCGCTGGCCGACGCGAATCGCATTAAGTCTCCTGTTCTCCAGTCGCCTCGCGGATCTCCTCCCGGCCCCGGACTCGCTTCCCCAGGGCTCCCCTCCCCCAGTCAGTTCGCCGGTGCGGGCCATATAAACACCAGTGGGCATGGAAACACGGGTTTTGGAAACGATGTGGAGAGCGGTCGTCGGAATCTTGGGGCTTTCGACACCAGTCTCCCCATCCGCATGGACGTTGAAGCTATGCTGGCATATCTGCTTCTGCCTCCCGCCGGTGGTGTCTTCCTCCTGTTGGTAGAACACAAGAGTGACTATGTCCGGTAAGCTTCCTTTCTCAAGTCCCCGAGCTATTGTCTTTCCTTGCCAGTTTTGCTGACATTTCTTAGCTTCCACGCATGGCAATCAAGCATGCTTTTCACCGTCATGTTTGTAAGTCACGCTATACGTCCGAGTCAACCAATGGCACTTCTAATGTTATTCAGATACTCCACCTAATATTCTCCTGGTCAAGCTTCTTCTCATGGCTCTTGTTTATCTGCGATCTTGCAATGATCGGCTTTCTCAGCATGCGGGCTTATCGAGATGGTATGTCTTCACGATTGCGCAACGATAACACAAGCTGACCATACTTTAGTTGATACACTCGAACATTTCGAAGTTCCAATCTTTGGCCGTCTTGCCAATTCCTTTGTTGACGATGAATGAACTCGCTATAATAACGGCATGATCTCGCTCTTCACATGATTTGTGTCCCGAGGGTGCTCCCCTGATGCTTCTTAAGCCACCTTGCCCGGATAATCCTCCTGATCAAGGACTGGTGAGCCCTCCATTGTACAGTGTCACTTGAACATACTGCGGAACCTCTATGTTTTTATAATTTGTTTCCTGCTGGCCTGCTGCGCATGATGTTCTGCTATGTATTTCTGTCACTTCCCATCTTGCCGTCTTCACTCGAATTGTAATATCTCTTTATCACATTTTCCTGCTGCTCCATATTGCGCTTCATCAGATTCCGTCGTTGCTTGCATGACTGTGAAGGCTTAACAAGCTATTCATTTTGTAGTGATGCTGAAAGCCTTGATTCACAGCTTTTCGTGGAATACATGTCAACACAATGGCTCGGCGTGTGCCCCAATTCACCATGTCCTTGCATATAGAAATTTTGCTTCTGCGCCTGGCAACGATGCCATAGCTCTCCACTCATCATTCTGCAAATGAGTCAATGAGATGTTTAGCCAAGGACACCAGACTCATTTGCATGGCTTCAGATATTCAGCCAGTATTCGATCGAGAAAGCACGAGACACCTTCTTTCAACCAAATAATTGATTCGCGTGGGCCTACGATCAATAAATCAACCAGACGCCTACTTACAACTTGACTACGCATTAGTACGCACCAGCTCTGTTTAAGACTGTAAAAATGTGCCACATCCAGCGGGTTTCCAACAGCTGCGGGCATGTCAACGACCACGTACTCCTCGCCTGCCACATCGCGAAAGCCGCAGCTGATTCAAATTGGAACGGCGAACCGTTCCAGCCCGGTCTCAAAAGTCTTACACCCAAAAGCATCTGGGATAAAATCTCCCAAATCGGCTTCCACGCCTCTACACAACCGTACTGCACAGACGGCAGGATACGTTCTCTCGCAAGTCCAGGAGGATTCAAATGTATGGTAGAGGGATGCGGCCGTGCCGACTAATCTGGCAACGGGATCAACGAGCTTCGACTTCCCTACGACAATTCCCCTTCGCCATAGACGACGTCAGCGTCTAATTCGACCGGCTACTGCTTGCCTTGCGGCTATACCTTCTCCCTCTTATCGTCTCTTAGTATATCTCGCGCTGGCATGTGTTCCGTGGTCCCCTAGAGCTCAGTTTCTTTCTCTTTGGTTTTGTACAACATGTGCTCTTTTCGTTCCAGTTGGAATTGGTCATTGAGCATTTCCTAGACATTTTGCAGGTTTTAGACCCTGGTTGTTCCTTTCTATGGACTAGCGAGGTGTCACCAGATTTGCCCTCCAATTGAGCGTTCACTTCATGATATTGGGTTGCATTCTGCTCTGCTCTGCCTTGGTGGTTTCTCTGTAAGCTCTTTGAGCCAAGCCTACGACTATGGGTCAAGTACTTAGTTTTAATGGTGATATTCTTATCTCGGAGCTATTACATGCATACTCAACGAGGTTAGGCTATAGAGAATCATCTAGTCGTAGACCGTAGTACGTATACGCAAACAATACAGCGCCCGTACGCCAAGTTATTATTCAAGTATCTCAAAGTATCTCAACACAGCTAAAACAAAAAGAAAAACTAGTCCGTATCTTCAAAGAAAGACATTCGAGAAACCAAGCACACAGGTATCGGAAAATCAGCACGCGAATTTCAAGGTCAACACATGGGGAAGTCCAAGGAAACAAAAACCAATTTTGACATGCAAGAGACTAGGGGAAACCGCATAAAGAATGTGCCATGGAAGAGAGGAATAGATACTACTAGACCCAAAGATTAGAAGATGTGGCAAAGAAAAGACAAATGAGCACAATTTGGTATCATGATCATGAACACGTGATTAAGTAGGACATGGTTGGGTCATAGATGAGTGATGAATGAATGATTGGGTTGGTTCATGAGATAGGCATTGATCGTATTTGTCGTTTGTTTTTCGTCTTTAGATGATTTGGAGGTAGTTGCTCGGGACCAATCCGGTTCGGCTCCGTGCAGTGGTGATTTCGGCTTCCCACCAGCCGTCGTCTTGGAGGCGGATCACCGATAAGACGTCGCCTTTGCTGAAGCCTAACTCTTCGGGAATGGCGGCAGTGTAGCTGTACATGGCTCGTGCTGAAGGAAAGATTAGTTATTGCTGCTGGATAGGAGAGGAGGAAGGGGTACTTACCGAAGTGAAGGATGGGTCGACCGTCGCGGCTGAATTGTCTGCTGGGATCGGCAACGGCCACTGTTCTGCTCCTGGACCGGCTCCTCACGCTCGCGGCGTCGTCGTAGTATGACATGGGTCTACCACTGCCGCGTCGGGAGCCGTACCCGTCACGACTGCCAGCATACATGTCGGGTTGTCCGGAAAGCTGAAGCTCCATGCCCCCGGCGCTGGAAGGCCGGGTCTGTTGTCTAAATTGCGGCTGTGGCGAGACGGCACGGGGCATCGTGTTCTGAGCCTGTCTGTACTGAGGCTGCGGGGATACGCCGCGCGGTGCCATGGTGGGAGACTGCCGGTATTGTGGCTGAGGTGACACGGCACGCGAAGATCCTCTTCGGGCATATTCTGCAGTTGGAGATGCATCCACGGGACGCTGGGAAGGAGATGGGACGGTCGGTGATTGGTTATACCGGCTTCTCATACTGCTGCTCGAATGGTAAGTCGGACTAGGGCTGGCCGCTCTACTGTATTGCCCCATGCGGGTGTCAACCCGAGGGCTGACATGAGGGCTCGCACTCCGCCTTGGAGCTGGTGACCGAGCCCTTGTGGCCTCCTGGGACTGTGCGCCGTGTCGGCTTGTCAATGAAGGAGGTTTGCTCGAGCCACGAAGCATATTCTGGGCCTGGCCAGTGTATCTTTGAGTTGTTTTCTGCATCTGCGCTGACGTGAATGCGGGTTGCGGAGCGTCCAAGCGTTTCAGGGATGAATCGTTGTAAGCTGGGGGAGGCGTGCTCACAGCGCCGGGGTTAGCAGCTACTGGTGGCACTGGAGTTGCAATGCCGTGGTACCTGTCAGCAGATACACGAGTGGTTGATTGTTTCCCTGCCACTTTCAGATCTGCAAGAGCCCGGGCAATCGGATCCAGCTCCTCTTCACCACCTTTGGCGGCTTTCGCTTGGGATCCCTTCTTATCTTTGTCAGGGGAGTCCACATCGAATACATTGTTTCCAACATTGAGTTGGAAGTTTGCCCTCGGATCCACGGGCTCGGGGCTTCCAGATACCCGATCGGGGTCAGGAACAGTGATAGGCTGCTGGGGTTGAGGAGCTTTAACAGGACTGGTGGGCTTTGACGGTGACTCCCAAGTGCCGCGAGAAGGTGGCTGGGATGGGCCAGACTGGCGGTCTTTGTCATGGCGACTCTTGCGTCGGAATGGACTGTTACTGAAAAATGCGCTCCTCTTCTTTTGTACCTGTTTGTCTGCCCCTAGACCTGGAAGGGCTACACCATTCGTAGGTTTTGTGGGAGATTGTCTGGCACTTGGTGGCTCCTGACTCGACATCGATGTAGGGTTCGAGACTTCGCTTTGAGAATCGCGACTGGATGGTCGGTAGGCGCTATTGGATCCTGAGCTTCGCTCTGACGGCGGACCTGTCCTGCAAAACATGGTCATGCCATCGGTTGGATAAGCGTTGTGTGGCACCTTTGCAATTTCGCCATGCTGGTTGGGGTCATAATTTGGTGGAAGCTGACCACCACGCCTTAAATCTAAGGGAGCGGGTTGTTGCATCGGCTGTTGCATTTGTTGCGGCATTTGCTGAGGCATTGGCTGTGGCATAGGTTGCTGCACGGGTGGCTGCATTGGCGGCTGCATGGGCTGCTGCACTGGCTGATGCACCGGCTGCTGGATTGGCTGCTGTGGCGGTTGCTGCATAGGCTGCTGCACATGTTTCTGTACGGGCTGCTGCATCGGCTGCTGTGGTGCTTTTTGTGGAGTGACTGTAGCTTCCCTGCTTGAAGGAGTGGACGGGCCGTTTATCTTGGCTGCGATTTCGGCATCGGGGTCAATCTGGGGCTCGTATGAAGAAGGCTGCGGTGATGAAGTACGATATGCTGGGTTTATCGTCCGTTGAAACTGGGCTACCGAGTACCCTTCTTCTTCAGATACTTCCGAGCTCGTATCGTTGATATCGCCCCGGCAAAAGTTGATAAACTTGGGAGGGTCAGGAATGTCCTGCCCGGTTCCTTTCTCTTTGATGAAAAAGATTATGTCCTTCTCGACCTCGCAGTCTTCCAGGGAAAGTCGGATTTTCTCGCAGGACTAGTGATTGTTAGCGGAAGCCGGGTAGTTGTGTCGATAAAACGTACCGCATCGTCACTGACGCAGACAGTTGATGCAATATTCGCGTACGTCCATAGACTGCTCTTTGTGAAGTCGAGTCTCTCTTCCTCGAGATCTTGGAATTTCTGGAACGGCGCATCAGTATTCGTGCATCAAGAACCAATGTAAGTTGTCTGTCGCACGTACATCACAAGCTGCTTTCCACTCCTTATTCCAGCGTGTAGTAGTTTCTTCAAGAATTTTTATAGCAGCTTCGTACTCGCTACTGCTCGATGCAAGCTGTATTTGCGTCTTCTCCAATTTCGCTTTGTTCTTACGCTCTTCGTGGCCCATGACCATGTGCCCTTGAGCCAGATAACCCTTGATCCGCAGGCAATCTTGTTCATACCGATCTCTGGTCTATTTTGTTCAGCACGGCGATGTAAGTCTCTCGATAGGCAGGGTAGTTTACCTTGTTCACAGTCTGCGTCTGTTGGATTTTAGTCTTCAGTAGACGCTCAATACCGTTTTGTATGATCTTTCTTCGTTCCTTAGAACCACCGGCAAAAGCTATCAATGGCTCCTCTAGCTCCCTCTTCATCTGTCCCGCAATTGCTGCGTGGGCCTTAGCAATAGCCTCAGTCTCACCACGGACGGTATCGAACGACGACCGGAGGGATCCTATCTCTGTTGATCCGAGTGGCTTGCGACATAGTGCCAGGAGCTTTCGCGCGTACTCATCCTCAATAGCAGCACGTACTAATCATCACGTTAGAACACAGATAAGCCCATACTGAGCCCAGGATCGGCTAACGTACTATTGTAGAACGTCTTTAATTCATCACACGATACTTTCGACGTGTGCATTCTATCCAACATTGGTCCAACACCTGCGTCTTCCTTGCCCCAGAAATTGTTGGCAACTGTAGAAGTCGAAGTGTTAGCTTGACATGGAACTCGCTAACTGAATTTCGAGGTACTATACAGGACATGGCCACCGTTGGCCCGTCTGTGACTGTGCCCGGCATTTTGGCAGATTATAGTCCGGTAAAGGCGTTGAGCTTCGGCCAGCCTTTGCTCATCTAGTTATCGGTATCTAGGGATATGGACAATTTGAAAGGTAACGCAGAGCGAGCTGTAAAAATGTTGAACAACCCGGAACCCCACGGCGACGGAAAACCAAACGAAGATGGCAACCTGGATGCCCCTGGAGAAGCAAGATAAAGAACCAGAATTCAAAAGAAACAATGGAGAAAGCAGTACAGATGAACTGGATCTGGTGGAGTTAGCCACAAGCTGCGCTGTGGAATGGAGATGGCTGACGCTGTCATGTTTACACTGGCGTGTCTCTCGGGGCAACCGGCGGTAATATCACGGGGCAGCGTCAGGCAGCCCAATGACCACCTCATCTTCCTCGAGGGCCCATCAAGGGATATCCGCCGGTGGCTATCATTCTCAGCCAGTGATTGGAACCTGACGAATGGTATGGATTCCTGTTCCTGTGACGCTTTTCCCACACTTTATTTGCGCCCTTCCTTGGCTTGTAAGGTTTAAAAACCCTGAGGTCGGTCATAATCTATTCATCGGCTTTTGGATGTGGCTGGTCCCGAGGTCTTACTCATGGCGCGCGAAGAACGCAGTCTACCTATACATTCTCCAGTCAAACCCCCCGATTACTATCACCTATCCTGCACCTGGTGAATTGGGATATATCTAGTGCTGTGGACCGTATACGTGGTTCTAGAAAAGTGTTGAAAATTGTTGGGAGAAGCTCCATTGCAATAACTCGCCATAATCTACACTTGGTCTGCTCGTGGGGAAATGTCGGTGACCATGCTGAGGGGGTTGGGCATCAACGAGTAACTTTTGGAGACTACCGTCAATAGGGAAATTCGGGTTGCCTATATTTCGCACTTTTGAGAGAGCGTAGATAACTTTACCTTGATAAACACACTAACTGTAGATAACCAGACTGCACCTCATCTCAGGAACACCCGATGACTCAGCGGTTATATAAGCCACCGCATTGGTCCCGTCATGCTCACGTGCCCGGGACCCCCCAGCCGCACTTGCTTAAACGTAGTGGTCATTATGCAGGAGAGACAAAGCTGGAGGTCGAGTCCGGTCGCTCGCCTACGCACTTTGCTAAAACTATATTGCGCGTCCTTTCCACTGGTCGTTAATCTCAGCTCGAATCCCTAAATCGTGACTGCCGAATTGAGGTTTTCATCTCTCTGCCAAATTTCACCACCCCCCCCCCCCCCATACTCTGGATTGATCGACCTCCCCTACCTACTCTCTTCAGTAAGTGGGAGGAGCCAGGACGCAGCTCTCTTCCGCTGCCTAAGGCCGCCTAGTGTGGGCTCCTCAGGCACCTCGACCCGCACGTCCACTCAACCTCGCTTTCTCTGCCCGTCATTCACACCCATCGGAACTTCCATCCTGTGCCACGAAGCAACATCCTCTTCATTGCCATCGGTCTCTGCTCTTCCGCTGCCAGAATCCGTCGCTCTGTTGCACGTCTCACGATTGTTTCCATCAATTTTGGCTTCGACTCTGCTTTTACTCTGTTGCAAATAATAAAAATTTGTCGCTCGCCTTCAGATCAAATGATCGCGTCTCCTAGATGACCTTCCCTCCCCCTCCTCCTTCCTCCCAATCGTCGATTGCTTCTGGCACCGATAAATCCTCTTCGACCAGGCCGGCAAGGTCACAGCAATCTCCTTGGGGTCCGTCTTTGTCCCAGTCCAGTGTTCGGCGTGGGTTGACTCCACTTGCGACCAACAACCTCTCTTCACTCGCCTCAGCTTCTCGGGGGCCACCTCAGTCCAACAGTCCTGGTCCAGGTGGTTCAACCGCGTCTCCTCTGACTTCCTCCTTTTCCGCCGTTCTGAGCTCCGCTAGGGGCCATCCTGTTGGTCGGAACGTACCCTCGCCAGCCTCCACGCCCTCACCGTTCGCCTCCTTTCAATCTGGCTCGCAACAGCACCAGCAACCCGGGCAGTCTCTCTCCTCACCTAAATTCAGAGCTCACACCCCGTCTTCAGGGTCACATCTGGCTTCCGCAGCGGGTTCTGTTGCGGGTGGTGGAGGCTCCGGGGGAGGCGGAGGTGGGACGGGATCTTCCAGAGGCGCCACCTTCTCTCCGTTGTTGTCCGGTACAACCGTGAATTCACCTACGGGCTTTCCCTCTGACAAGCCAGGATCGGCAGCTTCAGGCTCTGCTGCTCACGCGAGCCAGTCATCGTTGACGAAGATATCCATCGCACAGGTTTTCCTGCTCCTAGATTCTATCACGGAGAAAGAGGGTAGAGAAAAGTGGGAGACCAAAGCTGCTCAAATTCATAAAGTAAGTACACCAGATCATAGCGCCGCGGATGTCAATCCCCCTATTTGTTGTATCTATACGATGCTGACTTGGTACCAGCTTGTTTTGTCAAACGGAATGGAGGTCTTCTCCAAATACTTTCGCCGCTTGCTTACGGGCAATGCCCCGCAAATTTTCCCCGGCGTCAACAAGTCCGTGGAAAATGCTGGCAATTATCCGCTCCTAGTTCAGGAGATGCAGAAAGTGTCTCAGGATATAGAACAGGCTCAGAAGATCGCAGAGACCGTCGATACATCCGAGGGTGATATCTTCCGCGATTTCGATCTCTCCACATTTTTGGATCACTTTAAACTCGATCCTCTTGTGAAGGTTTCTCTCGCGCTGGCTTTCAAAACCGCTAATAAGTCGGACTTGCGTGCTAAAGGTGAGTCGTTTAGTCCGACTATGAGACTCTGTTCTAAGTCAACTGACGAATGCTTTCTGGCAGCTGATGCGATAATCTCCAATTCCATAACACCGTTCCTGCAAAGCCTGGCAACGCTGTCTGATGTCAGCAAGGATTACAAGAATTCTTTCATTGGCATGACAATCGAGCGGTTCATACTGTATCCGCCTAGGAATTTTACAGATGAAGTGAAAGGGAAATTGGTGTATGCGGCGAACTTACGCTATCAGAAGTTGGGCGTGGACATGCCATTTGAGGTTGCGTCTGCCCTTCAGATGTTTAATTTCATTAACCCCAGGTATACACTTGTCCGCCAACTTCACTCAAGAGGACCGAAAGCAACCTCGAATGCCGATGCCGTCACTGAGACCATAAACGCAATCGGCCCCGAGTGCTGGGGCGAAGAGCATATTGCCAGTGCGCTGCTTTTCCTTGTACTCTGTCAGCATTGGCGCGAGTTCTCCCTGGAGACTTTCCTCGGGGCTGTTCAGGCACACTATGGCGAGAAGCGAATCAATTGGTCTCTCATCTTCCGCAGCTTCGACCGTGAGGGCTTAAGGCTTGATGCTCGACAATTCGCGAAGCTGTATGCGGTCCTATTGGCTGCAGCTACGGATGATTCAACCCTAGATATTCAGAAGCTTTGGGGTGGTGATTGGGAGCATCGTGACACACAGATGTCCTTCCTGACCGCTTTCATTGCTTCCAGGGCAGACGTGTCCCAAATTCCGAACCTGCGCGCCACCTTTCCCTCCGACTTCTTTGCCGATGGTCCCGAGCTCGTTCGTTTACAAGGCGAACGTGCTGCAAAATCACCACTCCGGTCTTTGGACGCTATGAGGGCCATATTCGATCTGGCATTATTTTCCCAAGCATCTTGGGCTGCCGCGGAAAGTCAACTTATGATCAAGGCGGTTGTCCAGTATGATCTGCCTGTTTTCCTGTGCTCAGCCCTTTCTCTCCCTCAGCCTTGGACGAGTGTGCAGCAGAGCTTTGTCCTTCGAACTCTGATCGTTTTCATACTCAAACAAGAGGAAGGATATCATTTGGCACTGCACGGGGCCTGGCGTCAAGATCGTCAGTGGGTTGCGGAGCAACTCTTCACGACTTTCACGCAGGACCCGACGTCTACTGCTGCCATCTATGAACATGCTGTTGACTTTGGTTGGCTCGACTATCTTCTGGGATACACGAATGGTCTCGCTATGGACCTTGCTTGCTACGCTCATCGTAAAGGGCCCTTTGACTTGGAACAGTGGGTTCGTAATGCGGCACAGAAAGGTCCCATGGATATGGGAAGCCTACTATCCAAGTTTCTGAGGATCAAGGCAGAAGACGAGCTTCACGTCCAAAGGAAGGAACAGTCGGCTCCCCAGATGGTTAGTCTTGCGGTCAAAACAGTGTTCACGTTGCTGTCGGTGCTCGAAGAATATGTCGGTGACCGTGAAAATCTTACTCCTGTCCAACGGATATGCATTCAGACTTATCCGCGACTCATCAACTACGGGGAAGGTTTCGACGACATCATTGACGCCAACGGGGAGAACGGAAATTCGTTGCCTGAGGCAGTAGACAAGCAGATGCAAGAGCTTTTCGGCAAGATGTATCACGAGGAGCTCTCACTCAGGGAAATCCTTGAGCTGATGAGAAGATATAAGTCTTCCCGTGAACCAGCCGAGCAGGACCTATTCGCTTGCATGGTGCATGGCCTAATTGACGAATATCATTGCTATCATGAATATCCCCTGGAGGCACTGACCAAAACAGCTGTGATGTTTGGTGGCATCATCAACTTCCGGCTGGTGGACGGCATTACCCTGAAGGTCGGTTTGGGCATGATTCTGGAGGCGGTGCGTGATCATGAAATGCATGATCCTATGTACAAGTTCGGTGTCGAGGCGATTGAGCAGTTGATCAACCGTCTTCCGGAGTGGGCTGGCTTCTGCCATCTGCTCCTACAAATACCTACCCTGCAAGGCACTACGATCTACCAGAAAGCCGAGGAAGTTCTGCGTGAGCAAGGGAGTCAAATTAGGGATGAGGCTGGAAGGGCGGACAGTATTCCGGGTGCTGCCGTGAACGGGAACGTTGACGAGAACGCGACCGCGGACGGATCGACTCGTAAATTCGTTTCCGTTCATGTTGATCCGCTTATCAGACCTGAGGTCTATCGTGATCCTGACGAAGATGTCCAAGACAAGATTCTCTTCGTGTTGAACAATGTGTCCGAACAAAACATTGATGAAAAGCTGCGTGACCTCACGGATGTTCTTCGTGACCAACACCATCAATGGTTCGCGTCTTACCTCGTGGAGGAACGTGCGAAGTTGCAGCCGAATTTCCAGCAGCTCTATCTTGACTTGCTGGACCGTATCAATGACAAGTTGTTATGGGCGGAAGTTCTGAGGGAAACTTATGTCAGTGTCTCCAAGCTTCTGAATTCCGAGGCTACAATCAATTCATCCACCGATCGCGGTCATCTCAAGAACCTCGGTGCGTGGCTTGGATCTTTGACTATAGCCAAGGACAAGCCCATCAAACATAAGAATGTTTACTTCAAGGGACTTCTCTTGGAGGGATTCGATAGCCAGCGCCTGACTATTGTGATTCCTTTCACATGCAAAGTGCTCGTCCAAGCCACGAAGTCCACGGTGTTCAACCCTCCCAATCCTTGGCTGATGGACATCCTTGCATTGCTCATGGAACTGTATCATTTCGCTGAACTCAAATTGAACTTGAAGTTCGAAATTGAAGTTCTGTGCAAGGATCTCGACCTCGATCATAAGACCATTGAGCCTTCCGTCATCATCCGCGACCGCTCTGCTCACATCGAAGATGCGCTGTCTACGGCCAATATACCAGATGGTCTGGAGGCGTTCGAGGACATGACTCTCACAAGTATCAACCAAGGAATCCGCCACGAGCGTCTGTCACCCGCTGCCATTATGTCGACTCTCCCGAGCCTGGACAAGATTCTTGTACTCCCGTCGTCTGCAAGCAGCATGGTCGACCCGAATGTCCTTCGGCAGATAGTGCACAGCGCGGTCGAGCGTGCCATCGCGGAAATTATCACCCCCGTTGTGGAACGCTCAGTTACCATCGCATCTATCTCCACTGTTCAACTGGTGT